CAAATAATCTACAGCTACCAGTGCTACAAAAGAATTCTTAGAATTAGTTGTACAGCCAAAAAGAGACACCCAGATGTTTTCAAAATGGCAAGGACTTCAAGATAATTCATTCCAAACATCGGAAAAAAAGAGAGAGAGTCGTCATTTTTTAGAGTCATGCTATAAGAAGAGAAAAACTGGAACATGTTGTGACCACAGAAAGATCCATGGAAACGGAGACAGAGGAAGACAATGCGAGAAGATTCTTGACAGCTTTTTGTCTTGGCATAGAGGGGTGTCAGTACACGAACCGATACTCACTGCTGCAGATCGCGGATTTGGACAGACATAATCGCGCACCCCAATCGGCAAGGCACTCGATCATGACGATGATCACAGCTACAACATTGTAAAAGTATGCCGCAGTATTGTAGTAGTAAGACGCTGGCCTGGGTTCGAATACATCCTGGGTACATTCGGAAAATAATGACACGGGCTCCCATTGTCAAACTAGCTTACAATTTTACCAGAAAATGTCACGGGATTTAAATGCAGCCGGTAGGATGTTGACCGCCTCACCAAAAGAGGACCAACTGATCCATGAAAATATGAGTCTGATATGCTTGATGGGCCACTGCCGTGAAAAGGGTATTTTAGGTTACTTAGCTTACCAGCCTGTAAAACGGTGCTGCACAGGCACAATATATATTAAAATGTTTACGATTTGTGTTATTTATAATTAATGCCTTTACGGGTGACTTGATCAAATTCATAGTAGCAGATGTTACAACCTGGCTCAGTCTCTTTTCTTTCGCATAAATAAACATGTGGGAACCCTTGAGGCCGTATAAATATTACACACACACACACACACACACACACACACACACATATATATATATATATATATATATATATATATATATATATATATATATATATATATATATATATATACTAAACAAACATAAAATCTATTGATCGGCACTCATAGAAAAAAAAGCAGAAAGATAAAAGTACACACTAGACAACATTAAAAAAAAAAAATTATAGCTACCGTGCCAGGAATCTAACCTGTCACCTCCAAAGGGCGTGTGCGCCTCGCTATGGAAACAAGTGTACTAAGAATATGACCAGCTAGGCATTCAAATGGCAGCACGGGTTATATAAATTTATACTAACCAACTATAGGTCGAGGTACAGCTGAGCACATCTTCACCCTACGCAAATTTTTAGAACAATGCAATGAATGGCAAAGAAGTATATATATACTAATTGTGTGGACTCTGAGAAAGATTTTGACAGCGTCCATAGAGACAGTCTCTGGAAAAATATTACTTTACAAGCTGTACCCGGCCACGCGCTGTGGCCCAGAATGGTAAAATGGAGAAGAAAGAAAATAGCTTTCAGCTAATAGTGTATGTTATACCCCCCCCACCCCCCCCCTCTCGCTCTCCCTTCAACCCAGTCATATCTCCCTCTCTGAAGGATTGGCAAATCATCCATGGCGAAATTATTAAAATAGAAATAGTTAAGAAATGAGAACTTTAAAACAATGTTTAAAGCTCTCTCAGTTAACAGTGTCTGGCATCAACCCTCAACCACCCTTGTCAACCACCCTTTTAATGGAAAAAGAACAATTATCACCCAGCCGGAAATCTAACACCGGTCACGGGTAGCAATCACTTGTACTGAGAAGTAAATGTGGCCAATGTAACAGCTACCTCATCACTCATCCAGTACCAGTACTACTGCTATCACTACCACCACCACCATCACAACAACAACAAAAGTTGTCTATACATTCTGTGTAGCCAGGGGAGTTAGCGCCGCATGCTGTCGCCATGGACTATTTAGTTTAATTGTGCCCCCGACATAGAAAAAAAAAACGTTATCACCTAAACAGTGATGGAACCCACAATATATAGTACACTTTACTCACGAATAGCGGAGAAAAATACGCCGCACCAGTCATCTCTCCCACTCCAAAGGGACGATTTTTAACTAACCATGGCATCAGTGTCCACCCAAACAAAACTGGACTGTTAGCCGTCTTAGTTAGTTTCTGTCACCGCCGAATAGTTTTTGACCGAGAAGCGTCGCGGGGAGGTTAATTGGGACTTAACTGAAATTGGATGTCTTTTGGCGAAAGGCGCAGATATCGCAGCCTAGCTGTAAACCACAACACAACATGGCAACTACCCTTTTAAGGGGAAAAGAACAATTATCACCCAGCGGGAAATCGAACACCGGTCACCCGCGTGAAGGATGCAATACTTACAACTATATTACCGAAGACTGAAGAGTAGGTCAGATATCGCAGCCTAGCTGTAAACCACAAAACGAAAAAGGGCGTAGATATCGCAGTCTAACCTCAAATGGCCAATCAACTAAAAACAAATCCAGGCTGACAGCGAAACAAATAATGATTTGACCGTTTCTGGAGCTACGTCGTTCGTGGTTTGTGCGACAGGTGTAAGACAGTGATGTCTTATATCATCTCTCCTCTCCAACCTTGTGACTGAATGGATACTAAAGAACACAGTAGACAAGACATCGAGAGGTACACGATGGACTCCATTCACCATGCTTGAGGATCTTGAATTTACTGATGCTATAGCACTCCTATCACATAAACATGAACATATATATATACAAAAGAAAAGTAGCAAACTATATCGCACAGCAGAGATGGTGAGACTGGGAATAAATACAAGGAAAACTAAAAACACGTCAAACAGTCCAAACCAACAATCAGTGACCATAAATAACCACACACTTAAAAATGTAGAACATTTCACATATCCTCCCTACTGGGGGGACAGGGGAAGGCATGCTGTCACGCCTAAACAGAGCTAGAGCTGCTTTTGAAACGATGAGGCAAATCTGGAAATCCAACAGTTATTGCAGAGGAACAAAACTCCGAAACTACAAGAGCATCATTCTACGAGTTCTTCTTTGTAGAACGGAGTGCAGGAAAACGACCAAAAGGGATGCACGCAAGCTATACACCTTCCACCACACATGTCTACGTAGAATTGTCAAATAAATTTTCTGGCCAGATACAATCTCAAACACTAAACTATTTTAAGTCACAAACTAAGAAACTCGAGACAGCATGATAACCAAGATAGAAATGGCTTAGCCACGTTATCAGAATGAATCCTGACAAACCCAGCAGGACGTAATGCCTTTGTGTAGAATACAACGCACATTTAGCAAAGAAATTTGATTCAATTGTCTTAGTCATTGTTTATAACCGGCTGTTCATTCTTATTATTCTCTCTCTCTCTCTCTCTCTCTCTCTCTCTCTGTGTGAGTGTGAGTGTGTGTGTGTGTGTGTGTGTGTATGCGTACGTATGCGCACCTATGTGTCTGTATTCACATGTGTGCATCTGTGCATAGGTTAGAAAAACAAGAATAAAAACCACTCTACTGATGCTCACTTTTACACAAGCAGTCATTTCTCCCTTCTTCTTCTTCTACTTCTTCACGTTAACCGGCTGTAAACTACTGGGTAAAGTTCTGTTTGTTTGTCCACCACTGTTCCAAAACCTGAGTGTTGCGTGCACATCCGTTTTACATATCTAACGTATCTGCATCCAGACTGCTGGTTCCTTGCCTCTCAGGTAGATGCACTCTGTCTTCGAAGAAAGCTCCCAGTTATTCGACTCTTAAAACAAGCTTGCTGGGGTAGGCAGTGGATCTATTCTTGTTTTCTCCACAATGGGGCCCCGGAATCTATAAGGAGAATCGTTTCCTGATCTCTGTAACTCTGAATGCTTAGAATACCTTGGACAACCAAAAAGAGCAACCAAGAGGCGGGAGCCCGAAGACAACTTATCACAGACATCTGAAGGAGACAGTCATCATTTTTCGGCCATGTTATGAGAAGAGGAAAAACAGAACATGCTGTGACCACTGGAAAGATCTGTGGAAGGAGGGATAGAGGGAGACAACGAGAGAAGATTCTTGACAGTCTTGTTGCATGGCATCCAGGTGTGTTGGCACACGAACTGATACATGCTGCAGAAGATCGCAGATTGTGGAGACGCATAATCGCCCACGCAAGTCGGCAAGACACCTGATGATGATGATGATGATGGTGATGTAACTCTTCTAGTCCCAATGTACAATACCGATAATGTCGACATCTTTCCTACCTGTTTCCATTTTGTGGAACTTTGAATTAATTATTGTATGCATAAAATAGTCAATAGCTTTCCGGTAGTCAATAGAACATAAGTCAATATTTGTTTTTGTTTGGCGTCCGGTTTCATAGAAAACGCTGATTCAATTGTGTTACCGCCAGAAACTGTCTATTACACACAACATACCATACATCAGCTTTCAGCCGTACACATACACTAGAGCAAACCCCACCCCTACATCAGCGATCAGTCGAACATATACACCAAACAGCCCTCACACATCAGCTATCAGCCGTACACTACAGCAAACCCCCACCCCTACATCAGCTATCAGCTGCACATAAACCACAACAGCCCCCACACATCAGCTATCAGCTGCACATATATACACCACAACAGCCCCCACACATCAGCTATCAGCTGCACATATATACACCACAACTGACCCCACACATCAGCTATCAGCTGCACATATACACCAAACAGCCCTCACACATCAGCGATCAATCGTACATATGAAGTACAAATTGTCCAACAAATCAACGATCAGTCATACATATACACAGTCTGACAATATACGGTGATACTGTTTTTATTATGTCCAAGACAAGAAGGAAATCAGATCATCCAAACAAGCATAAGTTTCCATGATTCTGTCAAACTGCCAAGCCGCTCGGTCAGCAGACGACAAATAACCCTCACTTCTGTTCAGCCGATCAGAGTTGTTTTGTTACGTAAGACAGCAGGAAGCACAGAGTAGATCGTTAAATAATATTTCAAATTGAAAAAAAATGATACTGAGACAGTGGTGAAGAAATATAGCATCACTTCCATTAAGATGACAGTTGATGTGCTTCCTCAGGGATGCCTTCAAGACCTTGAGGGCAAGATCGCCTCCCTCTGACTGCCGCTGGTTTTCATGGTGGAATCAATCCAGTCGCGAAGCGCCAACACATCTGTAACAACCAGTGGGGAAGTGGGCTGCCTACAGCCTTTCCCGTGAGACAAGATACCAGCCAGGACATAGACACCTGCGAATATGTACCTGTGTATGTACACATATGCATACAAACGCATACACAGACAGAGGGACACTCACAAACACATACAGCCATGCTTGGAGTAAGTAGGTAGGTAATTGTACCCCACCAGGACATCACACAGGCGATAAACACTTGGTGACACAAAGTGCCACTAGGCCATGACTAGGCCATATTTATGACCCGGCTATATTCAAGGCCCCCGGCAAAAGCTAAGGTGGGGCTTCAAAATAAAAAAAAATTGCATCCTACAAAGCGACGACTGCTCATCAGTATGCTTGGAGTAAACTAACAACAGTTTAAAGGTATCAAAAGTTTTCAGGGCTGTGTGGGGTGGATACTTTCAAATGGAAGTGAATAGTAAACGATCATGAGTTTAGTCCAAAATTACCCAAAAAAATTGTGTACTGTTTAAGACGAAAAATAGTAAATGACGAGTTTCCTTGGGCATATAGGGCTAGACCTACACACCAATCGCCACTAAGTGGGTGATATAGTCAACATCAGCTCAGCCGCCTTTACTTCCCAGGACTGTACCTGGTACCAATTCAAAGGTCGATCGACCTGGAAGCCAAGGTCATTTCTGAAAATTAAAAAAGCCCATTGAGGGTAAAAGCACAACAATGAAAGCACCATTGAAAGCACCATTAAAAAAAAAAAAAAAAAATTAACTTTTAAATAATACTAGCGTTTCTACTGTTGTGACTGCAGCTCAGTAAACATATGTACGAAGGTGCACGGACGTTCTCACAGTCATTGTGATCAAACTACAGCTGTTAAATGAAGATACGATCTGATCGCCCATTGTATTACCTATTGAATGTATAAAATAGTCAACAGCTTTCTGGTAGTCAATTAGTACAGCTGTTAAATGAAGATACGATCTGATCGCCCATTGTATTACCTATTGTATGTATAAAATAGTCAACAGCTTTCTGGTAGTCAATGGAACATAAGCTAATATTTGTTTTCTGCAAACAGTTTGGCGAGGACGACTTCGTCGCCGATCAGTACAGTATTTGGGTCTGTCTCGTTAGATCGCATCAACATCACAGAAATCGTTTTTTTTCTTTTTGGGCTCTTGGTAGCGAGCAGTGCTAAGCCACTTTATTTGACGCACATAACCTAGTCACAGTTATAACGTAAAGCTCCCCGTTCGGGAAAGCTGGTTAAATGTGACGTTTTTTTTTTTTTTTTCAACAAAGAAAAAAAAATTGCGAAGGCAGTTGATGATTTGCAAAGGTAAATCAGGTGCTGACACAACTACCACCTTTCATGAGACTCATTCCATTCATCCACGAACATAGCCATCCTTTAATCCCATCTCCATCCACTTATGTTATTTTTCCATCGCTCCCTTACATCCTGGTTTTTACCAGTTCTTTGTGCTTTCCGGCTTTTATATAGTAACACATATATATGCCAATCCATCTATCCATCTAACATTCCTTCCATCCACTAATATAGTCATCCATCGTTCCATCTATTTATCTACCCACCCATTTATTCCATGCCATGGACCGTGTTGTGTGGAAAGGGCATATCAGGAAGGGAATGAGGGTGAAGGAAGAAAAGACTGCAGAAAAGGATGAGAGCTGAGCGTCTGAAAATCAACGGATTCAACACAAATGTTGACAACAATGGTCTTGAAATCCTATGATATCACTGTGGAAGACTTTTCTTGACACGGGCGGGTCTTGCTAGTCACACTCGCCATCGCCATGGGCTGTGTCTCTCCTGCCTCCTCATAACGCATTATAACAATATTGTCTGGAAAGACGGAAAGGTGCAAATCATCATGCCAATCATTTATCCCATCACTCACTCATCCATTCACCCCACAATCCACAATCAACTCATCTATCTATCTATCTATCTATCTATTATCCCACAATCTATCCACAATCATCTATCTCCTATCTATCTATCTATCTATCTATCTATCTATCTATCTATCTATCTATCTATCTATCTATCTATCTATCTATCTATCTATCTATCTATCTATCTATCTATCTATCTATCTATCTATCTATCTATCTATCTATCTATCTATCTATCTATCTATCTATCTATCTATCTATCTCTATCTATCTATCTATCTATCTATCTATCTATCTGTCTATCTATCTATCTGTCTGTCTATCTATCTATCTATCTATCTATCTCTATATCTATCTATCTGTCTGTCTATCTATCTATCTATCTATCTCTGTCTATCTGTCTGTCTATCTATCTATCTCTATCTATCTATCTATCTATCTATCTATCTATCTATCTATCTATGCCTATCTATCTATCTATCTATCTGTCTGTCTGCAGCCTGCTTGTATGCCTGCCTGTCTGTCTGTTGGTATTTGTACGCTAGCACAGGCACCACTTTTATCCCACGCCGAAGTACTAGTGTCATTTTCACGACCCAACCCTGGTTACGCTATATTGGCTAACCCCTCCCTCCCCATTTCGGACATTCAGTTTACACTGGTGTGTCTGATGGCGTCAATTCCTCCCATTACCCAGGTATACCGACCCAGTTTTCGCTTCCCGTCTGCACGGTGGTGATATACAGGTTAGTACCTGTCCCGCCCATCCTTTTGAACGAAGTTTTTCGCCAGGGTCACAGATGATTTAATTTATTTAGTACTTTATAGTCCTAGGTAGTCACTTGTTAGTGTAAATTTGTGTATGTGTTCTGCGTTGTTCTTTATGTGCCGATGAAGGTTAATCGCCGTAACGTCCTTTGTTTGTTCATTGTTATCGATTGTGTAAAGCCGATATAAACTCTTTGTTCTTTCCTACCCCCTTTTTTCTCTTTTAAAAATATGACACGGAGACAAAGGCCCCATGTTTTCTAGGGGGTGGGGGGGGGGGGGGGAGGTTAGGTAGCGTTATGGCCAGACGCTCACTCTCCGGCCCGAGGGTCTTGGGTTCCAATTCGCCACGGAAAATAGTTTGTTTTTAAAATGTCCTCCACAATATAAATGAAATAACATGAAATGCTTAAGACAGATTTAAAAAGAGAACGCCTAGACATGGTGGAGGACGGGACTCTACTTAGCCCCTTTAAAAAAGCCCCCACCCTCCCCCGAAACATTTATGGTGGGGGCCTCAAAGTGCCTAAGGCCTTCCCCCCCCCCCCCCCCCTCCCCCCCCCCCCCCCCCACACCAGGTTCAGGTGCCTCTGGCTAATGGGCACACGATGAGAATACATTTGATAACAATGTTACTAGAAATACATAGACATGAAACCGACAGGGTCAAATAATGACAGATAAATACACGCGCGAGCGCGCGCGCACACACACACACACACCGAGAAGGGATTCAGAGTGTACAGTTGAACGAAAAGGTACTTGATTTCTAAATCACACCAAGCAAAGGAAATCCTGGAGTCTCTGGGAAAGTCTAAAATTTTAGGGGTGTTATGAGTTGGGTTGAGGTTAGAGATAGGGTTAGTCCATGTCTCTGAGGTGGTCGGGGCTGACAAAGATCCTTATTCTAACCCAAATCTAAAACAGCCCTATAATACTGGACTGTTCCAACGTTTGGGGTGGATTAAAACGAATAAAATAACAACTAAAATGGGTAGAACATTCGGTGGTCTGCATGCAATAGCAAATGATATGAAGACTTGGCGTGAGTTTGTTGAGGATCGACGATTCATTGTGAGATTACCGCTGAAGAAGAAAAAGACTGGATAACCCATACCTTTAACCTGGAATGTGGCGGGTCCTCCACCGTCACCTGCACACGCAACATCCCCACCTGTTCTCCCTGCACAGATCATCCGATTTGTCAGACCGGTGTAGCTGTACATTCTATCTTCACATTCGCGATGGTTGTAGACGGTTAGTACAGATTTTTTCAATACATCTGACATCTGACGAGTGTCTTCAAAAATATCAAATAGGAAATATTAACAAATAGATTTAAGTAAAGTTAAAGTCCCTTTTCCACGCCTTTAGGCGTAAGGGGCATATAGGACTAGACCATATTTGTATAGACCAATCGGCACAAGAGTGATGTGGTCAGCATCACTGCGGTCGCCTTTATTTCCCGGGACTGAACCCAGTAATCCACGCAAGGCTGGGTCTACCTGGGAGTCAAGGTCATTTTTGAAAGAAAGTCCGGCTCCGCCAGGGAGCGAACTCACGACCTTCCGATGTTTTTCCCATAATGGGACCCCAAAACCCACATTGGGAGTTACTGGTAAGAAAGGTGTGGGTTTTGAGGCCACATTGTGGGGGAAAACCAGAACAAATCTACTGCTTACCCAACAAGCATGTCGTAGAAGTCGACTAATTGGGAGCTTCCTTCGAAGTCGGAGTGCATCTGTCTGAGGGGCAAGGAACAACCAGCTGCACCCAAATAATCCGGGAAAACGGATGTACACTCAAAACTCGAGCCCTAAAAAAAAAAAGCCAAAGTCCACATGGACGAACAACCAGGACTTTCCGACAGAGCTTACAGCCGGTAAACAAAAAAAAAAAGAGGGTATGAAAAAAGCGCTGTACTTTACGTAATATAAACATTGTGATAAACTTTAAACACTGAATATGAGAACCATGTTACACACAATATAAAGAATGAATGAAACTTGAAAACGTGGTGTGTTAGACTCACCGTTCTCTTCATTTGACAGTGCAATCTTTTTTCTTGATAGCGTTCACCGGCTGTAAACCCCTGTGGAAAATTATGTGTATTTCGACCACTTCTGGAGTCTGGTCATGTTCTAGAACTTGAATGTTTCGTGCAAGTCCGTTTTACATCTCTGGTTTATTTGTATACAGACTGTTAGTTCCCCGCCCCTCAGGCAGATGAACTACGACTTTGAAGAAAACACGTCTTTTTAGAGGAACATTAAGTCTATGTCCACCTCTCCCCCCCCCTCCCCCCATCCCCAAATTGTGTCACGGAGTCAGACGGGAAAAAATACGATTAAAAAAAACACTGTCTAAAAGGTCCGTATTTAAACCACTTTTGGGGTGGTTTTAGTTTTTTTTTGGGGGGGGCGGGGATGATGGGGTCGGGGTGGGGGGTAGTGCCTTATCATCCTAGTGATTCATGGCTGCATGGTTAGTGCTGTCGCCACGAACCATGCAGTTTAATATTTTTTGTGTGTGTGCAATTCCCACAAATTGGGAGATAAAATGATTTTCACCCCTAATCGATCATCCCGGGTCTCCTGTTTTCACTTTCCGCTACCACTGTAACCATCATTTCGTGCAGTTGTGTTTCATTCTCAGCGATCAAAACCAAATCATCAGCATATCGCAGGTTGTTAACGATATGTCCAACGACCGATATTCCTGGCATACCATGTAGGGATCTAATTATTATTTAACTGTACAAGCCGAATAAATCGGTGGTAGTACACAACTCTGTCTAACTCCTGGTTTCATTTTTTGAAAAGTTCAAACATGGCTGTCAATCCTCAAGGCTGCTTCTTATTGCCAGTTTGTGTTGTTATTTTTTATTTTATTTATTATTCTCATATCTTTACCTTCAATGTTTGGGGTTTCCAAAACTAAACAATAGCAATGCATTAAACGCTATATTTGAAAAATGCTAGAGATTAACTGTTGTATTAAACGATAGATTTGACTAAGTCTAAACATTAACCAAGTTTTAAATGCTAGATTTAAAATACTTCCTCTAGTGGCCTACAGGCATGATTGTAATCTTAAGGACATTCTAGTCAAGAGTAGGTCACGCCCCGCGTCTGAGCTCCACTTCGGCACGGTCTCTTGTCACAGACCTGTATGCAGAACCTGTCCATATGTGGTCCAGTTGGCTTGTCTAAAATTCTCTAACGCTACCCTCCACATACGTGAAGCATTCTATAGTACCAGCCGCAACATTATTTATGCCATCAACTGCAAGAGATGTGGCATGAAATACTTAGGTGAAACAGGTCTTCGGTTGACCAACAGGTTCAGGAAACCAGTTCCGTTGCACTTCAATTCCCAGGATCACCAAGGTGTCCTCGACATGGAGGTGACAGCGATTAAATCAGCCATTCTAACGCGACAGAGTCTACAAGTCTCTTGAGAATCGCTTTATTTATACTCTGGGGACTTGAACACCCTCCGGACTGAATTGCCAACACAGTTTCATTTAGACTCCCAGGGGATTTAACTGCCCTCACAGTTTTATCTCCAACCCCCCAGTTATGGCCCCTGGTACTCCACCGACACGTGTAGTCATTCTCCTGAGAAGCAACCGACCGGCTGCTTCGAGATACGGCTAAGTGATTTTGTGTCTCTGTGTAGTATTGTTTCATTTGTATGTGCTGATGAAGGCTCAATAGCCGCAACGTTCACGTTTCATTTGTATTTGTTATATTGTGAAGCTTGCTAATATACTTTTCGTTCGGTTTTATATCTTTTTCTTGAAATACTAGATTTGAGCGATGCTAGAGATTAAGTGTTGTACTAAACGATAGATTTTACCAAGGCTAGGCATTAACACGTATTAAACACTAGACTAAGATTGGTTGTTGTTTTAACCGATGCTTTTGACCAAGGAGAAACATTTACCGTGTATTAAACGATAGAATTTAGCAAGGGTAGACATTAACAATGTACTAAGCAATAGATTTGACTGATGCTAGAGAATAATTGTTGTGTTAAACGGTAATTTTTACCAAAGCTAAACAGTACCCATGTATAAAACAATAGATTTGCTTTTAGATGCTAAACACAGAACAATTTTGTAAATTGTCACGTAACTAGTCTGAACATCCCTCTGCTAGTAGTTCTATCCACATACTATACACCTCTATGCAAACTATATGTATTCAAATATGGACTATTCCTCCATAAGTAAATATTCCTTTTTTAAAAAGTATGGGTCAGGATGTATGTAGAGAAGCTGTGTTTAATCCTAAATCTACTGTGAGTGTGTTATATTGAAAATTCGCTCACAGGTAAGTGAATTTCATGAGTAGTGAAGCCTTTTTCCAGGGTCGAAATACCGCTAATTTGGCGGCAGGAATCCTTCCTGCTTCTGGCTCAGGAGAGTTTGAAATTGTAGCTTCATTCTAGACGCAGATCCTTAAGTCAGTTAATGCTCTAACGCTTTTTCGGCTAACTTACATATATATTTACTTTGAAAGTCGCATTTTTCACCCGGGAACTTTAAGAGAGTGTGGGATGTATGAGCTATGAGAAAGTGACAGCGCTGACTCCAATGGGACCTAGGTCAGGACCAAAGTAAACGTAATCCACCAGGTACGGTGATCAATAACCCATCCACCAGCAAAATCCACCCATCAGGATCAACTAGCAAAATCCACCAAACATTCATACCAGTCGCTAGAATATTTTGCTGCTACCGACTGCCTTCAGTATATGCTTCATTGTATATCATCATTTATTTTCATGAACGTGATAGATATCTAGATTAAAAGAGATCAATTCTACCCTTAGAATTATTTACAGTAGGAGTGGGCAGACTAGTTTTTAACAGAAGAGTATATTTGTGCTAGTATAATTCTGAAGCAGAAAGCTACTTGGACTAAGGAGAGGAGCTGATCAATCATTCTCTACACCTGACGATAAGTACAAAATTCAAGGAAGAACAGCCAACCAGTCAATTCGTGCCACGAGCTTACTATTACCTTAATACATCATCAGGGCAGTAATGGGCTTAATCAGTGACTTTATGTCAGGCCTATAGTCATTCCTGACTTAACATATTATTTGTGTCTTATTAACCTATCGGTCCCTTGTCTGTTTCAGTTCATTGATATTTAGTATTTTGTTGACCCTGATTACATCATGCTTTGTTATATAGAACTTACTTTTGTTGGTTTGTTAAATAAAATTTGGTAATGTCTGGTATTTCACAATGTTCTTTACCTAAGTTCTGTATGCATTGTTATTAGATCATATTTCTGTTGATACTGTGTTTGTTTGACTGCGATAACTATCATTTCCAGGCTGGGAAAGGGGGTAGGGGGCTTTTAAGTGGTTAGAAAGTCTGGCGAAGTTGTACCCAAGAATATCTGTAGAAATTCTATGGTGCCAAATACTTGAGTTGACTCATCCCTGAGGTGGATGTATGGGCAGACTACAGAACATGTCCTGCAAAAATGACAAGTTGGATGGTTGTTGGAGCTGCGGAGTACCGTCTAGACCAATACGAGCCGCCATCCAAAAATTTTACAATTTCATAGTTGTCACGAGACGACCTCAGTGGTTCCAGAAGTTAGTACTTGTAATAAGTTCTTCTGGTTCTAAAGAGACAGGATTATATTTACTCTGCCCTTGACCATAATATTACTTTAAACCAAATTGATTTAAAATGTTTCCAGTCCTTCTCCGAGACCAAGCCACTGCGCTTTGTTTAAAATTACCTAACACTACGTAATACAGCCCGCTGGTTCAGGCTAGGGATGTTAGGTTTGGTTCTCACGCCAGTGTCAGAATGTTATCTCCTGACCAGACTGTAGAGACTGAGTGGGGTCCTTTTGAACAGGTAAATTGAGTGGACGCTAGACATTGTGGAGACGGGAGGTTGGAGTTTCGCAAGTCAGTGTAATTCTTGGCAGAACAGGTGTTTGGCAATTAGGAATGTTTGATCTGGGTCAAGTAGTAAACACAATGGCTTCACGGACCGTTATTACACCGGCTAGTTAGATTCGTTGTAAACTAGATTGGGTCACTTAAGAATGTTTGCTCTAGGGATGTCAGTCCAGAATTGACTGACAGGCCACTTGTTAGCTAATTTGATCTGATGGGTACTTCAGAGGCGTGGCTTAAGTCATCGTCTTGAGGGTTGGGTAGAACCAAGTAAAGGGAGGAAATTAATTTGGACAATAGATTGATACTTATACTGCGAGCATTGTAGATTTACCTCATAGTGCCGCCAGCAGGCCACAGACTCAATCTTACCGTAGAAAAGTATTTTCTCTCTGGTTGAGTCGTGTTTGGCATTTGCTGGAAAGTTCCCAGGTGAATATTAATTTTAATCTTGTATACATAGGTTAGAGAGTTAAGCTTAGTCTATACTACCTTTTCCTAAATTTGTCTGCACATTCTGCTTGAAATAGTTCTTTGTGAGTATTCAGTATCTCAAGTTAGGGAACTGCTAAACTATTCCTATTTCTGGTATGTTTGTGTCACATGATTTTCAGTGTAGTTTTCATGTGTATAAAATAAGATGTGAACAATGACATTTGCTATAATTAAATGTAATTATATTGTTTCCATAATCAGCCAAAATATGAGTTTGGACTGGGAGAAATGATGCCCAAATATGTGCAGGGATGCTGTTACGTCTTGTGTGCCCACCATGTGCTCTCTTAAGGTGTTCACCTAAACAGGGGATTTATAACCCCCAGGGGAAGAATGATGGGTTAACAGTATTTACTGTCACTGAAAGATAATATTCAGGACAGCATGCACATATAAAAGGGTTGGAGTTTCAGCACATAACCTGCCCCACGTGTTGGTGTAAAAACAATGATTTGAAGTCTGAGTGAAGACGGACAACAGACTTAGAAAGTCAACTATCATGACATAGCTTGTGAGGGAAGGCAGGATATGTGACGTCCATGTAAGACAAAAGACCTTCAGACTAGACTGGAGAGAATGTGAATATGACGAGTAGTGATGGGATATATTTTATTATTATATGTTACAATAATTGATACATGTATTCTTAGTGTAAGTCAAGATACTACACGTATGTGTTTGTTTCCATGATTACAGTGCCCATGTGACGATCAGTCCATGAAAGAGACTACATTGTGTTAGACTCGGCCAGCTGGGAACGAGGTGGAGAACGAGGTGGAGAACGAGGTGGAGAACGAGGTGGAGACGAGCAGGGACCGAGGTGGAGGACCAGGAGAACTGGGAGGAAAAGGTGGAAGAACTTGACAGTACCCACGGCTGTCAGAGGTTCTATGATAATTAAGTTACGTCTCACCATGTGTTATGGATGTAAACTTATCACCACCATTATCCATTCACTCTAATCTTAGGTGCTCAGTTATCTAGCTGAAGCCTTTCATTATCACCATACCATCACTATCTATTATAACAATAATGATGACTAATGTCATACTCTGATTGCTAGGTTAATAAATCAAATATATGGTCTTATCCTGCATCAGTTTTTGTAATTCCAAATGTCTGTTCTTACATGTTTAATTAAACTGTTAAGATAGAATACCATTTGGTGGGGGCTCAAATAATAATATAATAATTCTTTAATTATTCGTAATAACACCGGGAGAAGGTAGATGACGGAGGAATCATTTGCCCTGTCTAATAATTCATTAAGTATAATGCTATAGACATCTAAAATTCATTTTCTTCTCTTGTGGGTACCAAGTTCAGCTAATGTTAATGTACTTAACGTGCCAATATGGTTGTTTTCTTGGGTATCCAGGACTTTATCTGAGAGCAACATAGCTCAGATTTTAGTTCGGTTTATCTGGTGGAGGGAATGTGTTGAGAGGAAAATCCCTACGCAACATATTAAACCATTAATCCACCGCGTCACGTCACAATAGTGTCTTAAACAAATAGGGGTGACCTTAGTTTTAGACACGTGACAACATTGTCTCGTGACATAAAATGAGATTTGATTGATTCTCAACTTCTTCTTCTTCGACATTCCGAGCTGTTTACTGTTGCAGACCACCCACCTCCATGCATCTCTGTGGTTGACCTTCTCTTTCCCCTTGGCGACTCCAAGTGTTTATATGTATGTATTCTTACTATCGCTCCGCTGTCTTCTTGATCTATCGGTGGCTAGAGAACAAGATGCAAACACATGTAATTGTAACAGACTCTGAAAGCATGCTGAAAAAGGTGAAGACAGGGATGCTTCGAGCAGAGGGGCAAGCTTCACTGGAAAGGTCACGGGTGGCGAGCATACTTTGGATCTTTTCTCAAGGCAATGTCGGCGTGGTGGGTATTGGACAGGCAGACAGATTGGCTGGATCCGCACCACTGGGTGGTGAATTGATACACGACAAAGCAGATGTGGTCAAGGCCTTTGGGGACAAGCAACGGAATCAGAAGAGAAAGAAGATTATTACGGTCTGGAGAGAATGAGGCACCTGGGTATAACCAGAGGGTCTGGCCGGCTAACTACAGAGGAAAGGCAAGACGGACGTTTAACCAGACTGTGACCGGTATAATCAGTATTGGAACTCGGCGCTGGCTGCTGAAGGTGAGGAAGGAGCATGCATGGAAATGCTCCGAGTGCTGTGATGTCAATTGTTGACTCAACTCAACTCACCTCATTTCTGTTGAGTGCACAGTTGCTACCTATCTATCATTTGTCAGTCTCTTAATATTCCCTAACCTTTTTAGCCTTTTTAGCCATCATGAGGCCAGTGATAACTTGTGATTTAAACAGATAATGAATTTCGGTGTGGCTTCTCACTCTTCATTTTCTGTCGTTTGCATCTTTGAAAGGTCCAAAGATTTCGTAAAAACATTATTGAATGTAACATGGGACTGGTGCTAAACACTGTAATGCAGATAAATAAATGTCTTACTGTAAGCAGTGTGACCCCAGCCTGAAATCGTCAGCTCGGTTCCGTCTGCGGGTTCCTCTCCTTGCACCGGTAGACACACGGGTTGAACATAATCGTTGAACTGAATACCTAGGCCGTCTCTTTCTCTTGCAACGTTCAACAACGCAATGTTATAATCCTTATTCAGGCCTGTCACACATTGTGAACATGAAAGGCAACAAAAATAACAACATATAACGGAAACATTCAATAATTCTAGAATATTACCCAGTTAATAAGGTTTTTTTTTTTGCACGAGAATGTTGACTGTACTGTACTGTACTGGACTACTTCTTCTTATGGTGCTCGCTTTCCAATGTATACAGAAACCCAAGTTTTTGTGACAAATTTGACTGTTTTTAGGAGTTGCCTTTTAGTTCCACACAATTATGGATACAGTGTTGACTCAGTGAGCCAGTATTTCATTTGTAATAGGCTTTACAAGGGACATTCTTGCAGAACATGCTCTGTAATCTGCACACACATCCCACAAAGGTACAATGGTAAACTATGTAGTCGAAGATTGTGCAAATGCTTGAAAGTTTGTTATATCCTGTCCTGTGGTGGTGAATAATGACCGGTACTTAATTTATAACTTACCCCTGACGTCACGACTACGTCACGGGAGACGTTCCTAATAAATTCTAGGGCGATCAGGTTGTAGTTTCTCGCGATTTATCTACAGCCAAGTTTAGGGTTAGGGTTAGGATTAGTGTTAGAAGACACTAGATGAACACTCAAAGTCAGCACCACACAACAGCACATTTGCACCCCTTGAAATAATGGACTGTCAGGTCAGCTGTGGATTTCAGACGGGAATTTCGTGTTTGGGGTACGTTATAAATTAAGAACCTAATGACCTGCCCTCCTGGTCAAGTACGTGGTTGGGGGGTAGAAAAAAAAACAAATAGTAATGCGTGCATTCGTAACACTGGAAATGAAATTTTGCACTGGCTGCTGAAGATTAAGTGGCACTGCTTAGGAGAATTCCCGAAGGTTGTGATGTCGGTTTTTAACTCAGCTCAACTGTTCTACTCCATGTAGTATATCTGGGTCAGTGTGTAAATCATTTTGTTGAACTTGTTTTATTTGTCATATATTACTATCGTTTACTGCCTAACAACCTTGGGATCCGCGCGGTTCACCAAGACAAGAGCGCTGGAACCTGGGATTTCAGACAACTCGGACACTATGAGCTAGTGTACATCGGAAGCTGAGAGCCAGGGTACTTCGGAACTTGAGGATTTAGGTACCTCGAAACCTGGGAGCTTAGTACCTTGGGACCTGAGAGCTTAGTACCTTGAAACCTGAGAGCTTAGTACCTTGAAACCTGAGAGCTTAGTACCTTGAAACCTGAGAGCTTAGTACCTTGAAACCTGGGAGCTTAGTACCTTGAAACCTGAGAGCTTAGTACCTTGAAAACTGAGAGCTTAGTACCTTGAAACCTGGGAGCTTAGTACCTTGAAACCTGAGAGCTTAGTACCTTGAAACCTGAGAGCTTAGTACCTTGAAACCTGGGAGCTTAGTACCTTGAAACCTGAGAGCTTAGTACCTTGAAACCTGAGAGCTTAGTACCTTGAAACCTGGGAGCTTAGTACCTTGAAACCTGAGAGCTTAGTACCTTGAAACCTGAGAGCTTAGTACCTTGAAACCTGAGAGCTTAGTACCTTGAAACCTCAGAGCTTAGGTAGTCGAAAAATGGAAGTTCATGCATCCCGATATTTGAGAGCTTAGTACCTTGAAACCTGAGAGCTTAGTGCATCCAAACCTGACAGCTTCCCCTTCTACTTCTCTTCCACCTTGCACCTCAGTGAAGTGTCGGGGGAGATGTAATGCTCGTTTGATAGCTCTGTCAAGAGCACTATTAGGATTGATGTTCATTTCTGTAAAGCTGTACCCACTCAAGGCTGGGTCGACCTGGGAGTCAGGGTAATTTCTGGAAAAAAGTCCGGGGCTACCATGAAGCAAACCCACAACCTTCTGATCCGCACGCAAGCGTCTAGCCGCTATGCCACGGCGACTCCCTCCAGAAAATATATTCAATATAATGGCTCTCTTCCATCTTGCACCTCAGTGAAGTTTTGGGGGAGATGTAATGCTCGTTTGATAGCTCTGTCAAGAGCACTATTAGGATTGATGTTCATTTCTGTAAAGCTGTTATTTATGCCATCACTCCATATTTTCGGAAGTCTTCCTCTCGCTCTATACCCGTTGTAATGTTTGAGCATGGCTCGCTGTGGGAGAAAGTACCAGGGCATTCTTGTTAGGTGTCCAAACCACTTCATTTGTTGTTCCTTGATGACCTGTAGGATGGGCTTTATTCCTAGCATTCGTCTTATTTCGTGATTTCGTATTTTGTCTTTCCTTGAAATTCCTGCAGCTCTTCTAAAGCATGTCATCTCCGTTGTCACAATTCTGCGTTTATTAGAGGATGTAGGTATCCTAGTTTAGTACTGGTAACATAGTGTTGCCCCCCCCCCCCCCCCCCCCCCACACAAAAAACTCATCCCGTCTCATGTGTTCTTAGTGTCAGGACCCGAGTACAAAGTCAATACTTGATGTAGCCACTCATTATATTCATGTGCGCTGTCAATAAGCTTAGGTTGTCATAGAACGCCATCCCAGAAGATCACTGAATAATGGATCACGTCAGCGCTTGCCAAACTCTCCTTACCCTCCCCTCTCATATCGTGAAGCTATCCAGGTATCTGTTTCTTTGTCTTTATCTGTCTCTTTTCTAACAACCATGCCAGCGTTCACCTCTCTTCCAGTCTATCCCTCTCGTAAGTCCAACTAATGCTGGTAATACAGTGTAAGGATGCATTTTCATAAATTATGTGGCAACTGAAGGAGGTATTTGCGATTTAATGTGTTGGACTAGCCTCCAGGATGACGCACTTTCAGTCACTTTTTGGATTGTCATTCAGGGTTCCAAACACAGTTTTTGGTAAAATCACCATAATGCGGCTCGAAAGGGTAGTTGACAAATGCCTACGAGTGAAACAAGCAGGATTCAGAATAAGCAGAGAAACAGCTGAGCACATCTTGACCCTACGCAACATTTTATAACAATGCAATGAATGACAAAGAAGTATATATATTAAATGTGTCGACTTTGAGGAAGCTTTTGACAGCATCCATAGAGACAGGCTTTGGAAAATATTACGACATTATGAAATCCCAGAAAAAAAAAATCTACATAATTGCTCTCTTCTATTAGGACTTTTCTTGCAGTATAAAAAAAATTACAATACATCTTTCCCAGTAAAGACAGGTTTAAGATGTGTTATGTCATTCCTCCTTTTTAACCTTGCGTTTGATTGAATGTTAAAAAACACAGTAGACAAGACATCGAGAGGAATACGATGGACTCCATTAACCATGATGAGGACCTTGATTTTGCAAGTGATATAGCACTCCTATTTTATAAACATGTTCAGATAGAAGAAAAAAGTAGCAGACTACACAGCCAGCAAAAATGGTGGGGCTGAGAATAAAAACAAGGAAAACTAAGATCATGGCGAATCGTCCAAACCAACAACCAGTGACCATAAATAACCAAACACTTGAAAATGTAAAACAGTTCCTATATCTTGGCAGTGTGATGTCCCAACTGGGAGGACAGAGGAAGACATGCAATCTCGCTTGAACAAAGCTAGAGCCGCCTTTGGAAGGATGAGAAAAATCTTGAAATCCAAAATTACTTCAGAGGAACAAAACTCTCTACAAAAGCATCATTTTACCAGTTATTCTTTATGGAGCAGAATGCACACCTGTTGCAGCTCCGACCCAGGCAAACTGTCGGTCCTTTTCAGGACTAGCAGACTCCCTTCCCAAGACGCAGGAAACAGCCAACCAGGATTATCAATCCGAAAAACCAGACAGCCTAGAAGCCAGCTCACCGACCAGATGTACCAGCAGAAGACGCCCCACGGAGAAGACGCCAGCACCGGACCAACAGGAGATCACACCCATCCGTTCCAGGCCGGCACGTGCAAAAATGGCAGTCCTTTTAGGGCTGCCAGATCCACTCCCAAAAACTGGAAACAGTCAATCAAACGCCACAAACCCGCCAAGCCAGACCACGCTGACATATTGAAGCCTCAAAGAATCTGAACTCAAACTAAGGTAGCCAAGAACCAGTCCTTAATATAGCAGGCCATCGGGTGGCTTAAATACACATGTCTACCCAGAATCTTCAAAATTCTCTGGCCAAACACAAAAACAAACATTAAACTACTTCAAATCACAAATCAAGAAACTCTAGACAGTATGATAACCAAGAAAAAGATAGAAAAGGCTTGGCCACGTCATGAGAATGAATCCTGATATACCTGCCAAAACAGCTCTCACTTGCACATCAGAGGAAAGAGAATGAAGAGGCCCCCATCCTCCCCCCCCCCCTTTCCAATATGGAGACGGACGATGAAAACTAAACTAAGTGTTGCATCTCTGTCAGGGAAAACTGCAATGAAGATTACACAGGACAAGAAAGCATGGAAAGTCCAATCTGAAGCCTCATGTGTTAGGCATAAAGAGAAAAAAGAAAATGAATTCAGGGTTTGGGACTTTGCGTCACGAGGGGTGGAGGGAAATGGGGGGGGGGGGGGGGGGGGGGGGTTGGGAAGGTCAGTGTAGACGTTTATTTACTAACTGTTTGGATAACCCTCTAACTAATCAAACTTTTTTCTTCTTCGTTTGGCCTTAAACGGGTGATTGACACGTTGTTGTATGGTTGCAAAAAGCTGCAAAATATGCGCCTTTCTGCCACCCCTCATATCCGATTTCATCGAATCCTTATTCGGTCACCTTTTATGTCCTACTTGTGAAAGGGCGTTGGTCCACCAATTCCCCCCCCCCCCCCCCCCCCCCCACCCCCCCCCCCCCCCCCCCCCAACTGAGCCATATAACCCATCTGGTAACTAGTCTTACCAACGGTGAATGAGACAACAGACGTAACTACACACACAACAGACACAACTACACAAATAAAAGACATAACCACACAGAGAACAGACACAACTACACCTGCAACAGACACAACCATACAGACAACAGACACCACAACACAGACACAACAAGACAGAAACAAGACACAACTACACAGACTCAATTACACAGACAACAGACACGGTTACACAGGCAGCAAACAAAACAACAGAGAAAATTACTCAGACAACCAACATAACTACAAGACAACAGGGATAACTATACATTCAACATACACAACTACATAGACAACATACATAACTGCACAGCTAACATGCACAACTATACAAACAACAGACATAAGAACACAGACAACAGACACAACTACACAGACAACCGACTCAACTACACAGAGGATTGACTCACGGTTGTAGGATTCATGAACTTTGACCTGTTGCACGCGAAGATCTTGCTGACCAGCGTCAGGTTGATACAAGATGTGGTCGCCGGCAGTCACCGATATCCTCCAACTTGAGGTGTCCGGGCTAAAATGTACACCTTAATCCGTGAAAGCAAGAGCCCGCAACACACACACACACACAATTACATAGAGGCAATAAGGTATACATTAAATGCTACAGCACTTCCTGACGTTACAAATCTCTTAGCTTCTTTTAAATCAGCCAGAGTTTCTAAACTTTTCCAAGAACAATACTTTACTCTTTTAGCATAAGCCGTTTTACCAGCTATCTTTGTTTAAGTGATACAAATTGTGATGATCTTTCTTGGCACCTTTCCAGTCGATAGCGTCGTATTGTGCCGTAGTAATTAAAGGACTATTTTCCACGCATTCAGGTGTGTTGTGGCATGTAAGGCTGTACCTACATTTTATAGTGCAATCAGCACTTGCTTGGTGATGTGGTCAGCATCACGTCTGCCACCTTTACTTTCCAGGACTTTACCTGGCACACATTTAAATCTGGGTCCGCCTGAAAGCCAAGGTCATTTTTGGCTCCCTTGGTACCTAAACCAGCAGGGTTGGGGTCGGCTAGCTTCTCTTAGGAGAGGTGAAAAGTGAAAATTAGTAGCCTGCCGATGACCCACAGTACACATAAGTCAACCTCTCCTCCCAGTGGTGCAGACCGGGAAACTGTGGCCGTGAGGCCACAGGCGAACGAGGCTCTGGCTCGCCAGATGGGATGGGGTCCATCTGGTCAGATGTTCCCTTAAACTGCGACTGGCCTAGCAAGCCGGCAGTGAATTTTTTATTGCTACGAAAATTAGAAAGGAGATAAATAAACGGACAGCCCCAAACGGAAAATGGACTGGAAACGTTAAAGGACGACGAAAAAGAAAAACGACTTACATAGGCACATGGAACATATGTGGTATTGCCAACAAAGAGCCACAAATAGTGGATTTCATGAAAAGAAAAAATATACACGTCATGGGTCTTGCGGATACAAGAAAGAAAGGATATAATACAAAAGAAATACATGAAAATTATGTTTTATTATGGAGCGGAGTACCCACTAAAGATAGGGCAAAACATGGTGTCGGATTTATACTTCATCCCGAGACAGCAAAATTAATAACAGGAACAGAATTTATATCAGAAAGAATTATTTTAATCAAGTTGACAGAAGGAAGTAAAACTACAACGATTATTCAGATATATGCACCTTGCAACGATAGTTATTCTGAAGAAGAAAAAGAAGACTTTTACGAGAGACTTACGGACACCATCAATAATGTTAAAGAGAAAGAGGACATCATAGTAATGGGAGATTTTAATGGTAGGGTAGGTAAAAGAAGATCACCATGGGAGAGATACCTTGGCCCATTCAGCGACACAACCACAGATTGCAATAGAAATGGAGAACACCTGTTAAACTTGTGTGCTGAACAAGATCTCTACATTACCAACATATTCTATCAACATCGCCAAAGTCAGGTTAAAACGTGGTACAAGTGGAACAACTTAGATCAAGCGTCACAAATTGATTTTATACTAGTCAGACAACGGCAGAAGAGGACGGTAAGAGACTCAAAAGCTGTCCCAAATGCGGGACTGGATTCAGACCATCGCCCAGTAGTTATGAACATATGCAACTCAAGTAGAAACAGTCTACATAAACAGAAACGTGAAGAAATCATCAACACTAAGAAATTAGAGGAAGAGAATATCAAACAAGAATTTGAACTAGAAATAACAAAGGCTTTTGCAGATATTGCCAAGGAACCAGTAAGAATTGAAGAAGAATGGGATTATTATAAATCAACCATCACGAAGATATTAAAAGACAAGTGTGGTACCAGAAAGACGGGCAAAGGCAAGAAAAAGGGTACCGCTTGGTGGAATGAAGAAGTCAAAGAAGCAGTGTCAAATAAAAAGAAGATGTTTCAAATATGGTTAAAAACAAAAGACGAAAAGGATTACATTAGGTACAGACTAACTCGATGAGACACCAAGAGAACAATAAAGAAATCCAAAGAGGAATCATGGAAAAAGTATGGTGAACACCTAACACAGCTATGTACAGAATCACCAAGAGACTTTTATAAGAGTGTCAAAGCGATGCGATTAAGAGAAGAAAGCTTCAATCCAACATCAGTCATAAACGATAAAAATGGAAAACCATTATTAAGCCAAAAAGAAATTTAAAAAAGATGGGAGGAATATTTTAAAGAACTTTTGAACCCGTCGGGAGTACATGAAACAGCAGAATTCCATTCAAGGGCTCCAGATCATCTAGAACCACATATCCTGCGGGATGAAGTAGAGAAAGTTATCAAAAAACAAGTAAAAGACACAAAGCAGCTGGTATTGACGGAATAACAACAGAAGTCATCCAGGCTGGAGGGGACACTATGATCACCTGGCTGGAGAGAAATTTTCAATAGAGCATGGGCAGTGAGAAAGGTACCAGTGGATTGGCAAAGATCAGTTGTAGTACCTATCTGGAAGAAAAAAGGAAACAAGAGAGAATGTGGAACTTATAGAGGAATATCTTTACTAAGTCATGTGGGGAAAATGTATGCAAAGATCTTAGAAGGTAGGATAAGAGCAAAGGTTGAACCTCTACTGAGTAAAGCACAATTCGGTTTCAGGAAAGGGCGAGGTTGCACTGATGCCATATTTGCACTAAGACAAGCCTGTGAAAAGACACTCGAATACTATAAAGAGCTGAACGTGGTCTTTGTAGATCAAGAGAAGACTTTCGACCGTGTAGACAGAGATGTGCTGTGGAGAATTCTTGACGATTACGGAGTGCAGGGTCAATTATTAGACAACATCAGAGCCCTCTATGAAAAAAGTGAAAGTGCAGTAAGAACATCTAGTGGTCTTTCTGAATGGTTCAAAGTCACAACTGGTGTCAGACAAGGATGTGTACTGTCACCATTACTTTTCATAACATACATGGATAAGATCACTGTAGAAGCAAACCCAGACGTGTATGCTATAAACGAATTACTTTTTGCTGATGATCAAAGCATACTGTATCAAAATGAATATGATCTACAGGAACATCTGACTACTCTCAACAACAGCTGTTTACAACATAATATGAGAATCAGTACAGAAAAAACAGAAGTTATGAAGATCAGCAGAACACACAGGCCACTGAATATAAATGTTGGAAGTGCCAAAATCAAGCAAACCAAAGAGTTCAAATACTTGGGCAGTATATTTACAGAGGATGGAAGAATGGACAGAGAGATAGAAACAAGAATACAGAAAGCAAATGCTGTCACATACCAACTATCACCTCTGCTTAAACATCCAGATATAACCAAAAGACAATTGATAAACACCATCTTCATTCCAACACTCTGCTACCAGTGCCAAACATGGACAATCAACAAGACCCATGAAAGAAAAATAGAAGCCTGTGAAATGAAATGTCTAAGAAAAGCAGCGAACAAGACCAGACTAGACAGGATAAAGAATATAGACATTAGAAACACTGTCAAAACTACGCCATGTTTAGACTACATAGAACATCAAAGAATTAAATGGTTTGGACATCTAACCAGGATGAAAAATGATCAAATAACATCACAAATTTTCAACCAAAGAAGCTCAGGATATAAGGCAAGAGGAAGACCAAGGAAACGGTGGATTGACGGGGTCTCCGAAACCTGCCAAAAGCATGGCCTCAGAACATCAGATGCTGCCCGCCTTGCTTATGACAGGAACTTGCATCTCCCCACAACGCTTAGCGGCATACGTGGAAGGAAAAAGTAAAAGTAAGTAAGGTACCTAAACCTACGACGTTCCGATCCGCAAACGAGCATCTGGCCGCTACACCAAAGCGGCTCCCTTTGTGCCATAGGGAGGGATGAAACAGTCGAGTGTGACTAGCAAAACCCGCTTGAATGGAGAAATGTCTTTCACACAAAAAAGCAAAAAATTTCAGAAACATCGTTGCCATCGCATTTATTTAATCGACAGTGGTCCTTCGGTATGCGTCGGCTTTGCTATGCGTCCAACTTCGTAAACTTCCTGTTTAGGTGTGAAATATTTTGCTTTGTACACGACCTTTGTTTGGAATAGAAAAAAGAGTCACAACACTATGCGGGCCGCGTTAGCGCAGTCGACAGGAGACTCGCTTTCAAATCCAGTTGCGACTCGCTGCAGCCCACGACCGGTGTTCGAAACCAGGTCGTCCCGGAGTTGACCCAGCTTCTAGGTAGTGGGTCCAGAGTTAACACTTTGGGGTAAATAGAGCTGTAGCTACGGAGTTGCGTGCCGGCGGCGACACAGGCGGACAGTTTCTTATCAGCTTTCCGTACTAGTGGCAGAGCACTTATGGTTTATAACCGTGTGCAATGACGCCTATTCACATCTCCCGACTTTACTTTTTACTGTCTGTACACACACAAACATATACACACACTCAAACATCGTGACTGTAACTGACTCAGAAAGCATGCTGAGAAAGGTGAGGACATGCATGCTTCGCTCAGAGTGGCATCCTTCCCTTCGGAGGTCACGTGTGAGAAGCACTGTCTGAATCTTTTCTGCCTTATGTCAGTGTGATGGGAAATGAACATGCGGACGGGTCATCTGGCTATGCACAATTTGGTGAAATACTGATGCATGTTAAGGCAGGCATGGTAAGGGTCTTGTGGGGGAACGTGTACAATTCAAAGGAGCAAATGGATCGCCACAGCTTGGTGATAGTGATGCAGCGTGGAGTGAAAAGGGGATCTGGCCGATACTCGACTCTCCGCGGAAAGGCAAGAGGGACGTATAAGCAGAATGCTACTGACACCACTGGTATTGGAACTCTGCGCTGGCTGCAGAAGATTGAGACGGAGCACTTGTGGGAATGCTCTGAGTGCTGTGATATCGGTTCTTGAATCGTCTCAACTCAACTGAACTCACATTTCCGAACCATCCTGAGGTGAAGGCGAAAGCAAAGTTCTCTGGAGATATTTTTTAGTAAAAGTCAAACACGATGAGCCTCAACCAGGTGCAAGAGGAAAAATAACATCTGCATTTCAGATTCCTTATATTTTTTTTATTTGAATAGGACTCTCCTTCCAAATAATAACATCTCCTCCTCTCTAACTTTTCACATCTCGTAATGCTTTATGTAAGGGTGGATAGAATGTTGCATATCTCGTAATGTTTCATGTTTCATATAAGTGTGTATATCTTTCATGCAAGAGTAGATAGAATTAGTTACAACGGGTATCGTTTCACTTAACAGTGGAAACACATGTTTTACCAAGGATATTTTTTCATACAAGATTGTATTTTTACAAATGATATCGTTCCTTGAAAGAGTGAACAACATGTTTTCAAAGAAATAATATTCCGCGTGTGGGTTCCGGGGCACACCCCCCCCCCCCCCCAACAAACATGTCTCAAAAGACGACTAGTTATGGGGTTTATTTTTCCCTCCGAAATCGGGTGCACCTGTCTAAGAGGCGAGGAACCAACAGTCTGTATGCAAATAAGCAAGATCTGTGAAATGAATGTTCGAGGCATAACTCAAGTTCTTTAACATGACTAAAATCCAGAATAGCACGAACAACCAGGAGGAGTTTAATGAAGAAGAGGAAGAAGAAGCACATAATGTCGTTTCGTCTATTAGGCACGTTTAAACAAATGATAACCTTTCACGTAATGAGGGAAAGGTTTACGAAATCTTACGTGTTACTTACTAAACACACTCAGCCGACGTAAGAACCCAGTATGCATTTACAATCACCCCTCCGCATCTGAACTTGTTGTCGACGTGTATATTTACTTGCCAGGGAACTTCTCCATGCGTGGCGAAAGTGCCACCTAATATCTTGTTGAGATTATAATTATTTTTGTCACCATCAAACGTATCATAGCCAAAAATACGTCCTTTAGTAATGGCAGGTCGACGACCACAAAGCGTTCTGTCTGTGTAGAAGAACAATGGTTTAACTTGAGAAATACTGCAGTGTCAGACTAATTTCTATAAAAATAATATAAGCACAGCCATATCATTATAATTCAATCGTAGCTCTGTAATTACAGAACAATCGTAGCTCTACAATTACAATACAAGTGTAGCTTTATATGTAACTACAATCATAGTTCTAAAATTTCGGTACATTCATAGGTCTATCTAAGTCGATCAGTCGCTTTGTAATGCCGGGATGCGGGGTTCGATCCCAACTGCGGGCCATGCGTCTTGCGTTGGTTTCGACAGTGGCATCAAGCAAGCCGACCGTCCAGGACGCAAAAGCAAACAACTGGACGTCAATTTGCCTAGAAAAACCACACAACAGCCAGGGATTGTTGGGGTTGGTTGTGCAACGTCATGTAAAGGATACGCAACTTACCATATGTCTATAATGACACTACAGTCAAAGCTCTATAATTACAATACAATCATAGCTCTTTAATTATAATTACAATCATAGCTGTATAATTACAATAAAATCGTAGCTCTATAATAAAAATACAATCATAGCTATATAATTACAATACATTCATAGGTCTATAATTACAATACAAGTATGGTCTATAATTATAATAAAATCATAGCTCTTTAATTACAATACAGGTATAGCTCTACAAATACAATACACGTATAGCTCTATAAATACAATACAGGCATGCTCTATAAATACAATACAGGTATTGCTCTATAAATGCAATACAGGTATAGCTCTATGAATACAATACTGGTATAGCTATATAATTACAAAACAGGCATAGCTCTATAAATACAACATAGGTATAGCTCTATAAATACAATACATGAATAGCTCTATAAATACAATACAGGCATCGCTCTATAAATACAATACAATCATATCTCTATAATTACAATACAGCGTAAGTCTATATAGCAATCGTATCTCTATAGTTACAACAATGGAAAAAGCACCACACACACAACTACAAAAATATGCTGTGCACTTACAACCCGGTCGTGTGACTCTAGAGTCACAGTCAAATGTTGCTTGTTTGTTGCAAATGTGTCCCTGTTTAATTCTCATCCCTGGGATGTTTTTTCTACAGACTGCAATACTGGAGAGGAAAACTCGGGGGATATACAGTAGAAGTGAAGGTCTTTTATGGCAAAGGCATGAAGCATCACGCGTGAACCACACTAGAGAATACTGTAGAGGTATTATGTATTAAGAATCTTACAATAATACCAGGTTGGATCTGCGACATAGATTGTCGATAAACAGTTTCGGCCTATTAATGACAGTATGCTTGCCACCGCCCTACCATGTCCCCCTGCCCACCCACACCCACCTATTAAAGCATATATGCGCCATATAGTAGCATGCTCAGCAAGGTGAGGACAGCCATCCTTCGTGCAGTTACATGCTTCGCTTCGGAGGTCACGGATGAGGAGCATTGTTTTGATCTCTTCCCCGGAGAATGCTTGTGTGTTGGGAAATGAACAGGCGGACACAGTGGCTTGCTCTGTTCAACTTGGTGGAATACTGATGCATAATAAGACAGACGTGGTTAGGGTCTTGTGGGAGAACATGTACAATTCGGCGGAGCAAAAAGATCAGCATAGTATGGTGAGAATGATTCGGCGGGGAGTAACGAGGGGGTCTGGCCGATACTTGATACTCAGAAGAAAGGCAAGACCCTATAATCAGAATACGACTGGCGCCATCGGTATTGGAACTCCGCGCTGGCTGCTAAAGCTGGTGACTGGGTACTTATGGGAATGCTCTGAGTGCTATGATGTCGGTTCTTGAAACATTGACCTCTGAGACATAATCTATGCATTTTAAAAAGTTCAGCACGTTTCGAATCACTTCCAGAGGCAGACGGGCTGAACCACAAGTGGTGGTATATCATCATCATCAGGGGGCCGCATTAGCGCTGTCGATAAGAGGCTCGCTTTCAAATCTAGCTGCGACTCGCTGCAGCCAACGGCCGGTGTTCGAAACCGGGCGGTTCCCGGGGTTCACCCAGCCTTTGGGAAATGGGTACCAGTGTTGACACTCTGGGGTAAACTGAGGAACGTCGCTGTAGCTACAGAGTTACGTGATAACGGCGAAACAGGCGGACAATTCTTATCAGCTGTCTGTACTGGCGGCAGAGCACTTATGGTTTATAACCGTGTGCAATTCCCTGGTTCACATCTCCCGACTTTATCTTTTCGGTGGTATATCAGGATCAGGACTCATACTGATAAAAACCTTTCTGGACCTCGCCATGGTTATCCTGGAAACATGTTCTCAATGGAAAAAAAAGGGGGGGGGGGGTGACTGTCCAGGGTATATGGGATCCATGTTGCCTCCGAACTCGAAGTGCGTGTGCCTAGGAAACCAGGCACCAAGAGTTTGCACACAAATAAGTTAGATCTACAACACACGCAAAACTCTCGGAATATTCTTCTTCGCGCTCACCGGCTGTAAACTCTGGGGATAAGTTCTGGTTGTTCGTCCACCTCTGGATATTATATCTGTTTCAGAACCTGAAGTGGGAAGTGGACGAACAACCAAGTCCATCAGTATTAATAGCCTGTGAACAAGCGGAAGAAGAGGGTATCACGTAGTTTGATTTACTGACCTTGTCTGGAGTCAACCAGGGCAGGTTCTATTTCTCCCTTATCCTGGAAAGTGAGAGACAGATAGAAAACATGGTCAGCGGTTAATATCACTACCACATCACATCATGCGTGAAAAAACGTTGGAATGGAGAAGCCCGTTCTCCTTTCCCTGCGCCATACATCTTAAATAAGCACAACACAAAAGTAGTCTCAATGAGGTTCATCCTAATGTACGAGGTCAACACGTTTTACAGAGGTGCTGAGTCAGGCCAGGGCTCACACTGAACCCTAGTTAAAGAGCATAATAATACTGAATGGGTAATAAATATTGAAACATTTAAAGCATATATGAAATGTATAAAGCAATACTTTAAAAGAAAATGACTCTACATGGTGCATAGCTCTCTCTCTCTATCTCTTGTTGTACCCCACCAGGACATCACACAGAGCGATAAACACTCGGTGACACAAAGTGCCGCCATGCGGATGAGGATCACCCGTGGAGAGGTCCCAGAAACCCCTTTCAGCCGTTAAGCCATATTCAGGACCCAAAAGCCAGCGTGGGGCTTTAAATGACGAAAAAAGTACAACCTGCTAATTAATAGGATGCATAGCTTCCTTAAAAAATTATTTGGGTTGGGAAGGCTAACCNCTTGTTCCCATCACACTATTTACTAACAGTAAGCGGGGACGTTAACCATATGATGTTACCAATCGTGCTGTAATCCACGTTTGCATCCCATCCCAGTTATTTATGTCCGTTGGTGCCCTTCTACTTATCGTCTCCCTTACATTGATTTCCCCCAGTCTGTGGTTATTTCCCCTTTTGCTCCATCTAGTAGTCTCGAGGATAGCAATTTATTTAAACATCAACTGCTACTTGGAAACGATTGTACATACAGACTGCGCCACAGCAAATGGCAGCAATCTAGTCTCCATTATAGATACCTTGCCAAGAATACAATGTCCAGTGTTGAAATGTATCAAGAGATCATATTGTCGGTTCAAGGAAACCAAAACATTATTACAAAGATACATCTGTCAACGTCTGTGGCTTAGAGGCTGCGAGCACGCTTCGTAATGCCCTATGCTATCCATTATTGTCCTTTTTAGGACGAAATTTTTTGTTAGTTGAAGCCCCACCGTCGCTTATGCCAGGGGCCGCAATATAAGCAGGCCATAAATATGGCCATTTGTCTGAACGCGGTTTCTGGAACCTCTCCACGGCGACCCTCACCCACATGGTGTCACTTTGTGTCATCGGGTGTTTATCGCTTGCGTGATGTCCTGGTGGGGTAGAAAGTCAGTCAGTTCGTAATGCCAGGGTGCCGAGTTCGATCCCAACTGCGGGCGATTTGGTCTTGCGCTGTTTCGATAGTGGTACCGAGAGCTGACCGTTCAGTAAGCAATGGCTAACTACTGAACGTGATATTTGTTTAGAAGAAACACTCACAAAAGCCACCAAAAAAATGCTGTGTTGGTTCTGAAACGTCATGGAAAGGATACACAACCGATTGTGTTTTTTGGATAGTTCATGTGTAAACACTAGGGCTTCAAATTTCGGTTTAGTTATACATAATTTCGTTGTTGTTGTTATTTTCGAATCGTCAACAACTGGACTTTTTCATGACAACTCTCCCTAATGGCTCTCAGGACAGGTTACATTGTTGCTATTATTTCTTTCTCCTAGAGCAATGTACCTAAAACTTTTTTTTTATGTGGCGAAATTGATTGACGCCCCTTGAAACTTCCTCATCGCCCCCCGCCGAACTAGAGAACACACTGCCATAGAGGGTCCAGTACCACAATGTTAGCTGTGTGACGCACACACACTCGCATAGTTATACAGACAAAATATGTTGGTAAGTTAAAATAATCACAGACATCAACAGATGAAAAACCCTCACCCACAAGCTGCCAATGTCCTTTCCAGTCACAGAAGACAACAGGCACATCGCAATCAGCACCCAGAAAGGCGGCATAACAACAACACAGTTTCATGCTCAAGAAGAAACGTGTGCTTTTGGCACAAACATCAACAACTGTCTGTCTGAAATACAACAGTAGTCAGCAGATCTTCGCAATGTCTGTGTGTATACTCTATTCATGTACCAAGATTTTTTTTTACTACGAAAGGGAGATTTGTTAACTTACGATTGGTTGAGATAGTTTTATTACTGTGTAATGTCGATTTATTATCGCTACAGAAAACACAATGAGTTATAAACGGACTGATCACACTTAACACCACTGGCCTGGGAAAAAAAAAACAGAAGAGATTATTGAAATGATTGAAAAAAAAGGAAAATCAAGTTAATGGGGCTAGCTGACATAAGACGCAAGGGAAATAGTAACAAGAAAATACACAGAGGCTACTTACTAACATATGCAGGAGGAGGAACATCAAAGAATGGAGTGGGTTTCCTGGTACATCCAGACATATCTAACTACATATTAGACATACATTATCACTCAGATAGAATTATTGCTTTGAAAATTAAAAGAGGAGAACACGCTGAAACATTTATATATATAGTTATATGCACCATGCAATGATAATTATACAGAAGAGCAGAAAGATGAATTCTTTGACGATCTGAATGATGAGATAGAGAAAGTTGAGGGAAGCAGCATACTATATGTAATGGGTGACTTCAACGGGAGGGTAGAAAATATCAGAAGAGAATACGAACAGTTTCTAGGTCCACATGCAGCTAAGAACAGTGATAGAAATGGAAATGGTCAAAGAATATTGGATCTATGCAGCCAGCACAATCTTTTTATTACGAACACATTCTTTGACCACAGAGATTCCCAACTGTACACTTGGAACAAATGGAATGATGTCTCCATCAAGAGCCAGATTGACTTTATACTTACCAGAGTTCGAGGAAGAAGGAGAATTCTTGATTCAAGAGCAATCCCTAATGGTCTATGTGACACTGACCATAAAATAGTTGTGTTAGCAGCAAAACATCTTACATTAAAGAAACACAGAAAGAAATTAACCAAAAACAAGGATTTCTTCAAGATAGCAAATCTGAAACAGGAAGGAGTAAAAGAACAGTTACAACAGAAAGTAGAGACAGCATTCAAACAACTTCCACATGTAGTTGGCAAATTTAAGGAAGAATGTAGTCAATATAAAAACACTATGCTTAGTATTGCAGAAGAATTATGTGGAAAACGGAAGAGTGGAAATAGACGGGGAAATAACAAATATTCACCTTGGTGGTGCGAAGAAGTAAAAGACGCAATTAAAAAGAAAAAAGGACACATAAACAGTGGATAAAATTAAAGAAAGACGAAGATTATATAAACTATGGACTGCAAAGGAGAGAAACCAACAGGAGTGTCAAGAAAGCAAAACAAGCATCCTGGGAACGTTTCGGTGAGTCATTAGCAGAAAATGAGAAAACAGCCAGCAGACAATTTTTCAAAGTTGTTAAAAATATGCGGAAAAGAGATGAGAGCTACAACCCCACTGAAACAATTAATGATAAGACAGGAAGGCTATTGATATATCCACCCGAGATAGCAGAAAGAAGTAGGGAATACTTCAATGAGCACTTTAATCCTCTAGATCATCAGGAAAGAACAACTGAAGAGCACAGTGCAACAGTGTTAAAACCACACATACTAATGGATGAAACAGAAAAAGTCATTAAGCAGTCTCCCAAATATAAAGCACCAGGAGCTGATAGATTACCAACAGAAATAATTCAAACAGCAGGTGAAAGCAGCATCAGATGGCTTCACAGAATATTTAATGCAGCATGGGTACAACAAACTGCCCCTATTGATTGACAACATGCAATAGTTATACCATTGTGGAAGAACAAAGGAAGCAAACGAGAATGCGGTCAATACCGAGGCATCTCTCTTTTAAGCCATGCTGGCAAAATGTGCGCCAAGATAATAGAAACAAGACTGAGACCAGTGACAGAACCACAGCTGGCAGAAGAACAGATGGGATTTAGGAGAAATAGAAGCTGCACAGTTGCAATCTTCACACTTAAACAGTTAATAGAAAAAGAACATTGAATACAATAAGAACTTATTTGTGGCATTCGTAGACCAGGAGAAGGCATTTGACAGAGTCGACAGACATTTATTATGGAAAATAATGGCAAGATATGGAGTAAGCGAACACCTCATCGAAGTGTGCAAAAGTTTATACGGGGATTGTAGAAGTGTAGTTAGAATAAATCATGGAACAACTCATCCATTCACAGTAACATCTGGAGTAAGACAGGGGTGTGTCTTATCACCACTGCTGTTTATCACCTATATCGACAGTATATGCAAGAATGCCAAGCCTATGAATGAAAATGTTAGTAAGATCAACGAATTACTCTTTGCAGATGACCAGGCCTTGATAGCAGATACAGCCATGAAATTCCAACAACATCTAACATCCATGAATAAAGAATGTAAAGCAAATAATTTGAGAATCAACACTGAAAAGACAGAAGTAATGTCAATAGGAAAAAAGAAGACAGATCTAAACATAGCAATAGAGTGCAAAGGCATTAAACAGGCATCTGAGTTTAAATATCTGGGAACTACATTTATCGAAGATGGGAAATTGGATAAAGAAATAAACTTTAGATGCAGTAAAGCAAACCAAGTATTGGGACAGCTAGCCCCCCTCTTACAGAATAAGACAATCCCAATCAGCACAAAGAGACATCTTATTCAAAGCATATTTATTCCAACTCTGTGCTACCAGTGCCAGACATGGTCACTCACAACAAACCATAAAAGAAAATTAGTAACCATGGAAATGAGATGTCTGAGAAGGGCTGTGGGAGTGACCATAAGAGATAAGATCAGGAATGAGATCATAAGAGAAAAAGTCGGCACAGAACCAATTCTAAATTACATACGAAGACAGCAAGTGAAATGGTTTGCCCACTTAGAGAGAATGCCTTGTGACACCATACCATACAAAGCATTCATGGAAAGAGGTAGACCAAGAACAATTTGGAAGGATAACATCAGAGAAACTCTACAACAGCACGATGTGCCTATGGTCGAAGCGGCCAGAAGAGCTAGAGACAGAACCTTATATCTCCCTCGACACCCACAGCGGTAAAAGAGGAAGAGAAGAAGAAGAAGAAATACTGTCGTAACTGTTTGGAGAGAACAGTAGTGGTAGGTTTGGGTTCTAGAAGTGGAGGCAAGGGCCGACCAGCAGGACGGAGGACACTGGATGTTAAGAACACCGAGTTACCCACTTTGTGGGGTGTATAGAACGCACTTTTTTGTTCACTAAATAGTTCTTCAAATTAGTCTGTCTTATACAAGGTAGACCTATATGTACCTGTTTTTGTTTTTCTCCATAGCTGCTCGCGAAAAAACAAACAAACAGAAAGCGGCAATCCTACACCACGAGTTTTAATTAAACTCCAGGTGATAAAATTTTCTTAAGAACACAGCATTTCGAATATCCACCTACAAAACCCCCCCCCCCCCCCCCATAAGGCTGACAAGTCTCTGCAGGCTGATTTGTACACAACCAACAAAGGAAAGCGTGCATAACGCGGGGAAGGGGGGGACACGTTATACACGCAAGTGCATTGTAATTATAGAGCTATGATTGTATTATACTTATAGAGCTATAATTGTATTATACTGATAGAGCTATGATTGTATTGTAATTATAGACTATGATTGTATTGTAATTATAGAGCTATGATTGTATTAAAATTATAAAGCTAAGATTGTATTGTAATTATAGAGCTATGACTGTATTGTAATTATAGAACTATGATTGTATTGCAGTTATAGACTATGATTGTATAGTAATTACATAGCTACGGCTGTCCTGTAGTTATAGACAATGATTGTATTGTAGTTTTAGAGCTATGATTGTATTGTAATTATAGAGCTATGATTGTAGTTTAAAATTGTATTTCATAGAGCAATGAATTGTGATTATAAGATTGTATTGTAAGTTATGATTAGAGCTATTTGAGCTATGTGTTGTAATTATAGAACTGTAAAGCGTTTTGATAATCATACTGAAGAACTATGGACTTATATTCCAACCTCTTTGGGAAACTAATAATTTACCAGGTTGTCTTAGGTATGATGATACACGATATTTTGCCAGTATACAAGGGAGATAACAAAATTTTTGTTGCAATATCTTTTACTTGACATTCATTATCTGCCCTTATAAACAGATGCTTTTTGGCTGAGCTGCAGAGTATGAAACACCTTTTGATGCAGATGTTGAAGAGTAACTGATGAAACACAGCAGCTTTTGATGATTTTTTTTTTTTTCTAAAACGGAACGGAGATGCCTGAGTGTTAATTTATTGGTACAGTAGTTACCTCTGAACATGATAGTAAAGTTCGGGTGTTTATCGCTTGTGTGATGTCCTCGTGGGGTAGAAATTCATTCATTCATTCATGCAGTTTTTTGTCACTGGAATGCCCTACCCTGGCTTCTGCCGGGGGGCCCTGAATATAGATATGGCCTAACGGCTGAAAGGGGTTTCTGGGACCTGTCCATGGGTAATCCTCATCCGCATGGTATCATTTTGTGTCACCGGGTGTTTATCGCTTGTGTGATGTCCTGTTGAAGTACCACTACTTACCTACCTCTGAACATGATAAAATCGTCACAATAGATGAGTGAAATATTGAGGGTATGTTTGGTTAGATTTATTTCTGACTGAATTCTTACAGTCGTCCCCATTTGGGATGCAATTTTTCATTATTTGGAGCCCCACCCTGGCTTTTGCCGGGGGCCCTGAATATAGCTGACCATAAATATGGCGTAACTTATAAAAGTGGTTTCTGGGACCTCTCCATGGGTGATCCTCATCCACATGGTGGCACTTTGTGTCACAGGGTGTTTAGCGCTTGTGTGATGTCCTGGTGGGGTACAACAAGCGAGAGAGAGACTGAATTCTAACAGTAGTATTTCTAGTTGTCAGTTACAACAAACTTTGTTCCAATTGTTAAGAAGCTTTTGTTTTATTTGATTTTTTAGAAGAAACTTTAAAAAAAAAGGTGGCCGTGCCTAGCGTCCATTTTGACCGGAAGAATTTCATGAGGGTTAATACAATACAACTGCCAATAATCCACAAGCCACTTCCTAGGCCTCCGCGGGCCAGATGTGGCCAATAGTTAAAAAGCCCTGATCTGGGTAACTGATTGTTTGGCATCCTCTGCCAATAACTGCCTTCATTATATCACTTTTGATGTGTAGACAGGGGAGGGAGGGTCTTTGAGCCTGAGAATTTACGGCTGCATGGCTAGTCCTGTCGCCTCGACCGTGCAGGTGAGGATTTGATTTTGCCACCGACAGAAAAAATCTGCAGCCTTACTGAGGATTCAAACCGTGGGTCTTCTGCTTGACAGCCCAGCATTCTAACTGTTGGTCCAGTCCACTCCTCTTTGCATGCTCAGCTCCATCAAACTTTACTAATTTTGAGTGTACAAGTAAAGCTCAGTATTCCAGGGTGCTTGTCCACATGGGCAAAGTTGAGTTCCCAATTTTGAACTTCTGGTACATATGTCTACGTAATCTGTTGTCTCTCCAGTTTGCAACCTCAAAAACAAATGATTCACTGCTTTTGCATGCTCAGCTCCATCAAACTTTACTAATTTTGACTGTACAAGTAAGCTCAGTATTCTGGGGTGCTTGCCAACATGGGCAAAGAGTACTCCACAATTTTGAACTTCTGGTACATATGTAAACGTAATCTGTTGTCTCTCCAGTTTGTGACCTAAAAATAAATTGTTCGCTGCAGTTATGTGCGGAAGCTGATTAGATATTCAGGACTGTGTTTCGGATGAGAAGTGTTTAAAAGGTTATAATCCAATTGCTGCCTTGATCATAAGTGCTTCAGGTATCTGGCAGTTCTGTATTGCTTCTCTTTTTTTTGCTAAGTAGTTTGATTTTTTAAATTTTATTTCTGATAACCCATTAAAACTCCTACATGCAGACAGATATAGCAATGCTGTTCTGATCTGGCAGTTTCTCCAGCGTGCTTTCTTCCAAACTTACTGGTGATACCTATCTTTTGGAGTAAACAAACGAGGCCAAGGGAGGGATCATGATGCATGGGCAACATTTGGTCCCTACAATACTGCCCATGCTTTGTGTTATAAACAGGAGGACATTCATCCCAAGCCATGACTGGAAACAAGCAATTAAAGTGCTTCTTTGTTTTCTTGCTCTTTTACTTATGCTTTCCAGTTATCACATGTTTTCAAGTTTATACCCTGTTAAAACACATCCTAAAAATCTGACTTTACACTGAGTTTCCCTAAAGTTTAACTTCAGTCTATCTCCAGGAGGTCTGCCTCACAGTTTTCCACCATCTCATCATACTGTTTGCATTCTCACATTTTTTGCCGCCTTTACTTGGTTTTCACCTTGTATATGAATATAACACTGACTTCAACTCTTTTGAGTTCAAAGGAACGCATCAAACATTTATAGGTTCCTTCCTAAAAGACTACCGAATGCAAGATGCGCTGATGTTATGTCTCTTTTCACTACCCCTTGGGACTCAAAGAGTTAACACACCTGAAATTTGTAAAGCTATATTATCAGATATTTTTTTTCTTCTTCTTTGCGTTCACCAGCTGTAAACTCTTTGAGTTCAAAGGAACACATCAAACATTTATAGGTTCCTTCCTAAAAGCCTACCGAATGCAAGATGTGCTGATTTTATGTCTCTCTTCACTACCCCTTGGGACTCAAAGAGTTAACACACCTGAAATTTGTAAAGCTATATTATCAGATAGTTTTTTTTTTCTTCTTCTTCTTTGTGTTCACCAGCTGTAAACTCTGGTGGAAAGTTTTGGTTGTTCATCCACTTCTGGACTGCAGTCCTGTTCCAGAACCTGAGTGTTGCGTGTGCACCTGTTTGACAGATCCGACACATCTGAGTGTAGACTGTTGGTTCCTTGTCTCTCAGGCAGACGCACTCCGACTTCGAAGGAAGATCCTAATTAGTCGACTCTTATGACATGCTTTTGGGTAGGTAGTGGGTCTGCTTGTTTTCCCTATAATAGGGCCCTGGAACCCACACGAGGGAGTAGTTTTTTTAACAGAGGAATTTAGTTATCAGAAACTTAGAGGAGTAACAACTTTAGCAACATAGTCTAAGCAGAGCAAACAAGCAGCCGTATCTTCTTACTGGTTGTGTTCTTTTGACATCTTTTCAGGAATAGAGACTGACACTAAGGATGTAGTAACAAATATGCAGTTACTTCCTTCCACCATGTCCAGTAATTATTATTAATTTTTTAAAGGAATGCATTGCCACAGAAGGCTTTTAAGTTATAGTGTTTGGCATGATATTAATATTAGGGGAAATTAGTATTACAACTTGTGTACCTGAGGAGAAAATAAATACCTGCAATAAATATATATGTGGTCAAGCGGCTAAAATGGTAATTTTTTGTTGAATCAAGGTGAAGACTAATCAATAGTAACGTTTGTTAGGAATCCATGATGTACACAATGACACTGCGTTGTACAAATCCCCGTTTAACATGGTGGCTAGTTTAAATAGATGCCAGTTTAATAGAAAGTTAAGTTGCGGCTTGGCTAAAACTAAGCTTGTAAGAACTGGTGGCTACTGAGATAGTATCGATCAAGAGTGTTTGGGGTGAAGGGAGAAGCGTGAAGCAGTCTCTCACCCTCGGTGGCTCCAGCCCTCCCTTTCGCCTCCAACGATCCCAGCATTCCCCATTCGTGGTCACGTGGCCGACGATTCCCGGGGCTTACCTCATATTTTTTCTGGCGACGGCGACCAATAGCTGCAGGGGATCCACGCCACGTGACAGATTTTCCCTTGAAATAATTTATTCCCGGCTACGGGCAGCAGACTTCGGTAATCTCCGGAGGCTCCTCTGCGGAGCCTGAAACTTTCATCAACAGCCGCCATGTTTGCTGGTCACGAACGGGTGAAATAGTCGACAAATTCTGTTTTATTTTACTCCTGGAATGATTATTTGATACGGTACATAGGCAAGGTTGTTCGTTGGATCCTATTCTAAAGTTTTAAATCTTCATAAGGCGACTGTGAACGTTTTTTGTTGTGAAAAATCGCGATTGATGTAAGTAGCCAGTGTCGCGGTGCTTTGTGGCAGGGGCTGGTGATTGGATCGGAGGTCGACGTGAAGTCGTCGGTGTCCGTCATCATGTTTTGTTGCGAAAATAACTTCTCACATTGTTAAGATATTACGATGCCTACAGTGTAATAATGGACGAGTCTACTACTTAAAACATTTCTTAGGTATAATAATTTTTTCATTATGATACTGTGGTTGAAAAGTGTTCGTCGTCGGCTCTTGAAATCTTAGCGCTGTGTTGAATGTAAACATGGCCGAACACCAACTTGGGCCTCCGGCCAGCAAGAAACCCAGGATCGGATCTCCGTCTCTCAACACACCTAGTGAGGGCAATGGTAAGTTTTCTTACTAAGTTAACAACCAGTTCATAAAATCCGAGAGATTGTTCTAATTTATTCCATTTGTTTCATCTGTTGTAAGATAGCGAATAAAACTCCGCACTTTACCGGGTACATTGATTATGCAGGAGATGGGTCATTGGGTCGGGTAGCCCGGTAGGTCCAGGCCAGTATACAAAAACAAGAAAAAACGTGGTTAATTTTGCCCAAAGACGTTGACTTCTATGAAAAGGAAGGCTCATTGTATTCATATTGCACTCGTCACCACTGTCGGTATGTCAGGTCCTCCCCAAATTGCTTGGCTTGAACATAAGTCATAAGTAGTCATGCAGTAGTGTATACTTGTGCTAATCATATGATCATATATATTGTCAGACTTACAAAGTAATATATAAGTAATCTGTGATGTAAACATGACGTACACAAAGTAATGATTTAGTTAAGTGTTAAAAACAAAGAATTAGTTTCAACTGACCCAATCATAACATCCTGTTTCAGAATGAACTTCACATTGATGTTAGTGTTGGTCTCAACTATGCTCTCTATGACCATGATGTCTGTTTGTTACTAGGACCTATAGTTGTATTGTCAGCAAGATAATGATAACACTGTAAACTACTGTGCATGTCGTGAGAGCTAACAAAGATTGCTGCCATGCTGGGTGGAATCTAAAGAAAAGGGACTTACCTCTACAAATTACAATGCTGCGCCCCCCCCCCCCCCAGGCTGTGAAGTAGCAGAAGCACTGTATTCTGGGATGACACACACAAATAATAGTAGTGTTAACCATCCTTGCTTTTTAACTTTGTAAAAGCTTTCACACATTAAGATAACAGTGGACACAGGTTGCAGAGTAGAGAAACTACAATAGTGTAAAAGGTGTGAAAAGCTCAGATTTGTGTACAGAACATTAGCAGTTAAATCCAGTCCCAGAAGTATAATTAGTATAAACCTTGACTGTACTGCTGTATAGATGAGAAACATGGAAAGCAGTTACTAATTAACAGCAAACTGTTATTAACATGGTGTTTTCCCAGGGTAGAAGAGAAGACTCAACTGTTGTGACAGAATCACTCATAAGAATCTGATGGAGAGAAAGACACCATAGCTAGGCCACATAATGAGAAAATAGAAAGTCCTTTTTCTGGAACCACCAATGCAAAATATATCGGGTTGAAACCTAAAGCACATGGACAAGAGACTTAGAGTGGGTGTCCCTCCTCCCCCCCCCCCTTATTTGAGGTTGTGGACATGGCATTGTGTAGCTCAGACTGTTGTCTTGCATTGTTGAGGACATGACACCAATGCTCTAAGCCTTGTTTTGAGAACATCTATCTTGACACCCACTTGATCAGCCTTGTTTTGCTAACATCATGACCTTGTAACCCACTTGCTCAGTCTTTTGTTACTGAAACCATGTGTCTTGTTACCCACTTTGTTTTGTCTTGTTTAGGGCATGCACTTGACACTGTGTGACTCAATTTTCATGTGTGTTAACATCTTGTATCACCTTGTAACACAGTCAGCATTGGGTTGTTAAGAACATTGTACACTTGACACTCTGTAACCCAGTGTTTGTGTGTTGCCATCATTCACCTTATAACACACTCAGCCTTGTTGAAAACATTATGATGCTGATATTGTTGGTTTTATGTTGTGGAGCTTGACACTGATTCCCATTCTTGTATTGACATTATATGCTCATGACACTGTTTTCTGGTATTATTAGGGATACACTAGACCAGACGCTTATGTAGCTAGACGCCATAAAGATTTTTTTCAAAACTAGAAATACGCAAATAGTTACCACTGAAACTAGTTCTCTAGTAGAAAATAGTACACTGGGAGCACAAACTCCTAGAAATTACCACCTGGTAAACTGTTCTTGTTAGATCTAAACACTGCACATTTATCTCTAATTTAGATCTACAGGTTTGAGTTAGCAAGTGCAATCTGAAATTTATAAAACACGCACAGGCTAAGACTTTTTTTTTTTTTTTTTTTACTTTGTAAGCTGCAGTAAGTGTGAGTTTAGTAATTTATTTTTTTCCTAATGTTTCTGCAGAATTCAACTTCTCAAACTTAAACTTTGAAGTTATTGTCAATGACCTGCCGGATGATCTTGATGGGCTCCAGGGATCTGCAAGTGATGCCCAGACGTGCCAGGACAGTGGTTTGGGGGGATCACTGTCGCAGCTGCTGTCTAGATCTGCACCAAACTCCCAGACATCATTATCAATGCCCATCAACAGTGTTGGTAGCGTACAGAGCAGAAGTCCTGGCCTTGGTATGCTCTTGGGATGGGGAAAGGTCCCATGACAAACAATTTAGCGGCTACACTAACGAATGCAAATAAAGTAGCCACATCTTCGCACATGGGCATGAACGATAATCTTGTCAGCAACTCGTTCACAATCTCAGGAACCAATCCAGGATTAATGGGGGGTGTTGCCAACTCGATGGGCATGAAGTCCATGGGAACCCAGCAGATGATCGGCGGAGTGGGTAGTCTGAACATGGGGCAGCAGCTGCAAAACCAGATGATGAATGGACCAGGTAGCTTTGCCAACAACTTGGGGCAGATGCGTGGGATGTCGAATAATGTGAATCCTTCAACATCCATGCAAATACCTCAAACAGGAATGATGTCCAGTCCAGGCATGGCACAGATGCAGCCTCACCAGGGCATCTCTGGACATGTGAACCTCAACATGCAGCAGCAGACTGTTGCCCAGATGGTTCGGGTAAGCTTTGAGTTTCTAATATATGTATAATAACTTCAGAGAAATAATATGAGTGTATGCATGCCTTGGTATCTGTTGATCTCTGATTCTCTTTCGCTTGTCTGTGGTGTAAAAGTTGCAAATGCTTTACAGGATATTTCGGAACCGACCCTTGCTTTTTTTCTGTTTGATTCTACCAGTGTTTATATTATTTTATAATTAGAGTCTTTTGTCATTCTTGTGCTCTTTTGTTGTATGTCAGACACACAGTACACATATACATAGAGAACTACATTAAGAACAACAGTCTTGGTATGTGGTGATGAATCACCCTTTTGTTTGTGATGGAGGAGAACACTATCTTCAATCATAAGTGTTAGTACCTTTTTAAGGAAATAATTAGACTCTGTGCCTAGGGAATTGTTTTATCTGCCCTGAGCATGCATGGCATACTGTGAGAGACTGTCATTAGCAGTTTGTTCACAAAATGTAGCCTTGAGCATGGCATACTGTGAGAGACTGTGTCATTAGCAGTTTATTCACAAAATGTAGCCTTGAGCATGGCATACTGTGAGAGACTGTCATTAGCAGTTTATTCACAAAATTTAGCCTTGAGCATGGCGAACTGTGAGAGACTGTGTCATTATCAGTTTCTTCATAAAATGTAGCCTTGAGCATGGCATACTGTGAGAGACTGTGTCATTAGCAGTTTCTTCACAAAATGTAGCATGTCCTTCACTGTATATATGTACTCTTCATCATCCTGTAGCAGGTCCTTTACAGAATGTAGCCTTCATCCTGGTATGCTGTGAGAGACCATGTATGTCATAATGTAGCCTTTATCCTGGTATGCTGTGAGAGACCATGTGTGTCATTATGTAGCCTTTATCCTGGTATGCTGTGAGAGACCATGTGTGTCATCATATAGTAGGCCCTTCACATAATGTAGCTTTCATCATGGTATGCTGTGGAGACCATGTGTGTCATCACCTGCCAGAAATCGTGTCTCTTGCCTTGTATAATGTTATATCCAAGTTGTCTACCATGTCTGTGTTTTTTACAAGTCCATCCACACCTAACTGTCTACAGCGTCCTATGCTAATGTCTAGAAGTTACAGATGTATCTACCAGATGCCATTTGTCCAACACCTTCTTCACTATCCGTTTTACCTCTTCAGGTTTCAAGAGAGATTTTAAAAGGTTCTTGTTTTTTCTGGCTGACTCGGTCACATGCTGTCGTAGAGTTTCTATGCTGTTCTTTTCGTCTTGTTCTTGGCTTACTTGTGCTGTGTTCTTCTCTTTTCAAGTATGCCTTATATAGTTGCGGCATCAAAACATTCCTAGTGATGTGCTGGCACCATTTCCATAGTTCATGCTGTTTTAGTTTCTAGGCCTTTATGATGATGTTATGGTTGCTTTCATAGCTCTCTAATATTTTTTATAGTGTTAAGTGTATGAGCCATACTTGAAAAAACCTGATTGCTAATCTGAGAATTTCATCATAGCATACTGGGTATACCCATAGATGGTTCTTCTCGCAAAGCGAATATCTTAGGGTGTTGATGTTAACTGTTCCAGTAGCACATTAGTTTTACACACGCCATATTGTCTCTTCCCACCACATGTTGTCCACTTCAGAGCAGCAGTGATTGCCTCCACCTCCACTCATATGCTGAAAACAAGTAAAACCTCATTTATGTGAACTCGCTTGAGAACACTTGGTTAACATGGATAACATTTTTATATCAGAAGGATATATTATTAATCTACTTTTTTGAGTCCCAGGGAACGCATCATACGTTCATAGGTTCCTACCTAAAAGCCAAATAAACGCATGATGCGCCGAGTATATTACTTTCTTTACTCTCCCCTGGGACTCAAAGAGTTAAGCACAAAATATTTTTAAGCGTCAGACAGGGTTTTCAGTCCTTTGGAATTCATGTTATCAGGGTTTCGCTGTAAATTAAAAAAAAAGGGGCGGGGCGGCTTATTGTCAGAACTTTTCCTTTCACTCTGGTGGAGAAACCCCACCAAGCAGTTGAAGCAGACATATGCTGATCCTCTTTTGAGTATTTTTCATGTGTGAAATGTTTCTTTCTGCAGCCTGGACCACCGACTGCGGTGGCTGGGGCAGCTGGGCCTCGACAGACCTCTGCTGACCCTGACAAGAGCAAGCTCATCCAGCAGCAGTTGGTTTTGTTGCTGCATGCACACAAGTGCCAGCGAAGGGAGCAGGCCAATGGTGACCAGGATTGCAAGCTGCCCTACTGTCGTACCATGAAGAATGTTCTCAACCATATGACCACTTGCAATAAGGGCAAGGCTTGTGAGGGTAAGCACGACTTTGAGGTGCTTTTCACCTAGTAACTGTTTTTAACTGTCAACAAACGCCTCATGTGTAAATTTAAAACTCAGGCTATCCTCAGACTAACAGTCAGTAAAGATGGCGGCCACAAAATATCCTGACGAGCCAGTCTCGTGTCAATTGAGCACATCGCGGGAAAACTAGGATTATAGTGTCTGTTGACAATTCAGAGAAACGAAACAAACCGCAGAGTTAAACTCGCCGCCAAGAGTCTCCCCCGTGCCTCAACGAGGGTGGGGCTAAACTAGATGCCTGGGGCCCACGAGCAGCAGCTTCCGCATCTCCTGCATCTTTGCTCGTGAGTCCTAGCCATCTAGTTTAGCCCCGATCCACGCCGCTCACGTGGCGTGGGGCTACTCTCTGCGGTGGCATTAATCGCCGGAAAACCGCAAACTAAGTCGCCGGGAGTTCGTAATTGACATGTGGCTGAGGCCCTGTTTTTAGTCGACATCTTTTGTGCCCGTTATTTGGAGGGTAGCCGGTTTGTGGATGCTACTAAAAAGAAAGCTGCGTTATTAATGCAGTACGAGCAGCGCCTTGTTCGGATTGTACTTAGCAGATTTTCTAGCACTAATTAGAACGTCTGTGCCATAATTTCCACATATAAAGGCATACAATAATTGGTAAATAGTCGATTTGACATAACTTTTTTTCCATTCCTTATTAGTTTTGACTTCAATTTTTGAATGTTTACAACACGTGACTGTGGCACGAAAGGATATTTTGCGGTCGCCATCTTTGTTGACCGTTAGTCGGAGGATAGCCAAAACTCATTTAAAGAGTAGACGGAATGCATGCTGAAAGTGGAATTGGCAGTGTTAAGTGAAATTGGATGTTTAATCTGTGCTTTCTGTTGTGACATGTATGAGCATGGACTTTTTTGAGTGATCCGTTTCTGAACTAACTGAACAGATACTTAACGTAGAGGATTGAAGTTGGACCTCTTAGAACTTACACATAACCTGGTTGGGAACCAATCTCTCTTTAAATTGTCCGATTTTATTTATATTCTGAAGAGCTGTTATTATAGTTTACAATTATATAACATAAATTGCTTGCAGTCAGTGTGTGTTGTAATATAAGTAGCTGAAAAGTCCAGAGCCATACAGGATTGCACGATATCAAAATACTTTAATACATTGCCATGCAGTATACAAGAGTGTGCATCTTTGTCCTAGTTATTGCACAACGTCTTGTTTGAGAATGGAGATGGAGGCAGTCTCTGCTGCCTTCCGCTGACTTGAGAATCAGTTACTGTGTGAATGAAACTATTGGATGAGCAGTATGAAAAGGAAATAAGAAAAAACTGGTAGGTTAGAATGATATTTGACAAGTTATAAAAGACGTTCTAGAGCTGACAGTAGTGACACGGCTGTTGCATGCCTATGTCCCACAGGTGGACAGGTTTGACAGTTCTTCTCTTCTGTAGTTCAGTATTTCCTCAGTGTCAGGTTTTAAATAGGCATCAAGGGAGAGCCTTGGTTATGTGCTCATATTAACGACCTCTGAAACTCCATCTATCCATTGCTAGTGTGGTTGACCTCTGGGTCAGCTTTCATTATGTCTGGGTGACAGTGCTGTGTGTGATGCTCATGTCTGGTGGTTGTCTTGACATCTGCCCAACCCATTTGATCTGTTGTCTCTTGCTGTAGTTAAATACTGGTTACGTCTCAGCTTCTTTCCTAATATTGTCATTTCTGATTCTTAATTTAAAGCCTTGTTTTGGGAAACATTAAGAAGAGAAATCAGACATACCTGTAGAAAACGATCACAGATTATAATGGAATAAGACACAGAAAATCGACTAATATTTGCGGCATAACAAATAAACAAGAATACCTAATAGAAGAGATGCTGAAAATAAAAATACAGTTACTTTATATAGAGGACACGAGAACCAAAGGTAAAGGGCTTAGACCTATACACAGTAACGATTCATATTTCTTTTCTTGATTTAATTAGAAAGAAAGTTTGCTAGGGACTACACAAAACATTACCGTTGACTTCGACTCTGTGGGTACCAAGGATCCATTCATCTGTTGATTTAGAACAAATGTAACTGCCCCCTGGTGCTGTGTAAGTTAAGTACTCTTTGTTGTAAGGAAGAGACTACAGGGAGAATGTCAGCCTTTGTAAGGGGTATACTGAGTAGTGACAGCAGTGATGTGTTTCATTCAGCACTTACAGATGTTTGTCTTGTGTGAGTGAGCATTTAGGATTTATGTATAGTTGTGGTTTCCCTATGAAGGGAAAGGATAATTTTTTATATTGATCTAAATTCGGAAAGCAGTGTCTGATGAGTTCTTGCTGCACATATTATCCCAAGGAAGTAGCTTGTGCCTGTGTCACATCAGTTTCGGTGAAGGGGGGGTAGACAGTCGATAGTCTAAACATTTTGGTAACCAATGATATTAAAGTCTTCCTAGTCAGAACATTGGCTATCTTATTTCCTGGAGTCCTGTCTGCGCAGGTTACCACTGTGTCCTGGTTCTACAGGACATCCTGTTTGGCACTGGTATCAGTGTTGTCACATGCCAGTTAGTAAACATTCTTTAGCTGCCATCCATACAGTATTTGCAGTCATTAATGTTGTGGTTTATTTAGAACTAATTATTTTCATAATAAGCAAGGATTTATATATGTGTATATAAAAGCCAATGTCGCTGTAAATTTGTGGATACTTTCTGGTTTTCATATGTGGCCTGCACAGCCCTTTGTCTATTCAGCTTGTTCATTTGTGTGTTAAATGTTGAGGAATGTGTGATCTGCTAGCCTGGGATCAGTAATGCCTCTACTATCCCCAGGCTTTTTTTTTTTTTTTTTTTTTTTTTTTAAACATCGATGTCCTACCTTTAGTTACTGATTAATAGTTAACAGGAGCAACAACACAAGACTCCTAAGGCAGGGTAAACCCATAAGTCAAGAATATCAAAATTTTTTGTGGACTAGACCGTTCACCTAATTTGTATAATCTTATGGCAGTCAGGAATAGTATTATGTGCTTACTGTCATTTAGTTGCAGTTGTCAAACATAACACCACACAGCTAGTACTCCTGCTGATTGTTGAATTTTTTATTTGGGGAAGTAAAATTTAATGTTTTTTGTTGTTGCTTCAGTGGCCCATTGTGCATCTTCTCGTCAAATCATCACTCATTGGAAGAACTGTACGCGTGTCGACTGCCCTGTGTGTTTACCTCTGAAGATTGCAGACAAGCGCAACACCACAGGGCAAAATGTCAATCAAAATGCAACGATGACAGTTCCCAATTCTCAAACTTCGGGTGTCACTGACCAAGCTACTATGAAACGAGCCTTTGAGTCGTTGGGTCTGCCCTACAACCAGCCGAGCCCGCAGCATAATGCCACCACCCACATACACCCACAGATGAATGCTGTGCCAAATGATGGTAAGCATATTTGCCATTTCACACAACACCAGAGTCTGATATTTTTGTTTTCTGTGTTTCGTTTGATTTGTTTTTAGATTTGTCACTTGTTTGTTATTACGTGCTACATAAAATGAGTAATAGCATTACCTTTCTGTAATCAGTTTTGGTAATTTTGTGTGTATGGCTGTCATGGAACCTATCTGATGTCCTTCTCTATCTGTGATGCTTACAGGTGTTTCTCACTTTGTTGGTTGTTTAGACATCATACGCATTTAATGACGTTGGTTATCTGATTCCTTTGGACACTTATTCTGTATCTCATGATAAAGAAAACATGTGTGTCCAACATCTTCTCTCAGTCTCCCTTTGCTCTTTTCCACTCCAACTTTCTGACCGTCACGATGTACATCATTTTCTCCTTCTCGTGAGACATCCAAAGAATGTAAGTTGCCTTTTACTAATGTAAGCTATAAATTCTCTTTTTGTGGGTATTTCACTCACAACATAATAAACGCTTTGTGAATGCATATGGCCTCTGCAGTCTTGTTCTACTGTACATATATATCAGTACGGCAAGTTACCATATTTTCCCAAGTATAAGACGATTCTCTGAACTTGATTTTGGGACTGAAAATTTTGAGAGAGAAAAATTAAAAGACTACATTTGTAGAGTTTCTTTGTGTTGTCAGGACTATATTAATGTTCAGCAACTTGATTTCAGCATTGTACAAAAATCTTTTCTGATTAAAAAAAAACTTCGCGCCAATGGTGGGAAAACTTCAATTGTTATAAATGTCCCCCGTTTTATGTTGCTCATGGACCGGCATCCTAAAGTAAGGCCCTGTACAGAATATTTTCAGACAAATCATTGGCCAAAAAAAATCTATCATTGTATAAGATGCAGTTTTATATACCCTATACTGCTTTGGAAAAAAAGAATGACTTATACTTGGGGAACTACTGTAATCTTTTTCTGATGATGTCCAGGACCGTTAACTAGCTGTTGACAGTGTTACCTGTCAATCCACAGGACAAATGAACAAGCCCAGCCTGCCTAACCAAGGCCAGAAAGTGATGCCCAATCAAACGGCAACCACTACCAGCACCCAGATGGGCAACCTCTTGTGTAACATGTCAACGAACCAAGGATCTCAGCCCATACAGCCCCAGAGTGGCAGCCAGTTGGCCACCTCCACAGCTCAAGCTGCTGCTATGGGCAATGCCCCAGACATTGTCAAGTCCATACCGCCCAGTAACCGCAAGGATTGGCATGCCCAAGTGACTCAGGATTTGAGGAATCACCTTGTTCATAAATTGTAAGTACCAGTTTGTTTCCTTTCAGCCCACGAGAGTGTGCGATATGGGAGCCAGTTTTGTGCAAAAGCAGTACTGTGGAATATAATTGTATTACTAAATATTTACTTGTAGCAGAGATGCTGTTTTTTTTAGGAGAATGCATCGAACGTCATTGTGTGATAAAAAAGCTAATGAGGCAGTCCTCTTTGAAACAGGTGTAAGTTATAAATTGGTTAGAGAAATTATACGTTTTTGTTGTTGTTTTTAACATCATTATGAAAAATGGACTCGAGAACTTGGTAAAATTCATAGCAAAAGAGCGAAGGGCGGGCAAAAAATAAACATTATACAACAAAAATCTAGGTTGTCTGCAGTGAACCTACGGCTGTCAGAATATTGTACCTTGCGGCTCCGGTCTCTTTCACATCGGCGACTGGGTCGCCCATGGGCTGGCTGGCAGGGGACTTTGTCACCCGTTGGATGGAACAGTATTTGGGTATGTCTCATGTGATCTCAACACTGCAGGAGTTCTTTTCAGGGCTACTAAGTGGCGAGCAGTGCCAAGCCTTTTATATGGTGCACATAGCTTAGTCACAGTTATAACCAAAAAAGCTGTAGGGGATATGCTGGTGGAACGCGATGATTTGTATGTTTTTTCCCCCTCAAAACAAGAAAGGAAGTTCTCTCTCACTTTGCTGTATTGTCATATGCAACAGGTGTCTCATTAGCTTAATAACAGTTGTAGTTCCTAGATGATTGGACCAACATTTTTGACTGGGCACCCGCAAATTTTCATCAGGCTATCAGTTGAACACTGACCTGGTGTATTTAAACACTGTTCATAGGTTGTGTTAACTTTGCATAACCTTTGCCTGAACACTGGCTTGTCTAGGAAATTTACCTCTCGCTTAGTTTTAAGTTTACACTACTTATTAAGAGTTTGTGCAGTCAGTTGTTATCATATTCCACTTGTTCATTGGCTTGTTACAGTTAGTCGAAAGCATCTTGATTATAATATTGTGTATTTTAAGTCATTTGTGATTTTAAGTAAATGTTGATTACATACGGAACTAGCTCTACTGTGGTGTTTTTGTTAAAACTGTTCATGTGGGACAGCTATGACCAAGAATTGTAAATGTTGTATTTGCAGAGTTCAGGCAATATTCCCCACGCCAGATCCTGCAGCACTGAGAGACAGTCGCATGAAAAACCTTGTAGCATATGCTCGCAAAGTGGAAGGTGATATGTATGAAACAGCAAATAACAGGGTACGTCAGTTTGTCCTTTTTTTTTCTGTAAAATCTCTGATTGGGGTATATTTTGTCTAAACCTGTAATATGTTGTCATGTATTGTCTTTTTTTTTAATCTTTGGTTTAAAATTGCTTTTTTTTTTAGTTGTTTAAAGAGAAAGTGGTCTCTGTGAACATACATGTGATTTCTGTTGTATATTGTGTGCTTCTCACATAAAAACTCCCTGTGTGGGTTGCAGGACCCCACTATGGGGGTTAGGGGGAAATAGACCCACTGCCTCCCTAACAAGCGTGTTGTAAGAGTTGATTAATTAGAGATTTGCTTTAGAGTCAGCAGGCATCTGCCTGAGAAGCAAGGAACCAGTAGTCTGTACACAAATAAGCCAGATCTATACAATTTGATGTACACGCAAACCTCGATTGTGGAACTAAACTAAAGTCCAGAAGTGGATGACAGTCAGAACTTTCCCCCTGAGTTTACAGCTGCCGAATGCAGAGAAGAAAAAGACATAGTAATGATCTCTGCTATAACAGATTGGAAATCAAATCACATTTCTTCACAGCTGTATGTTGTTTTGTCAGTATGCAGGCATCCGTCTGTTGAGTGTTCTGCTAAATACTTCTGATACATATGTTATTCTTTTGTTTCATGATCTCGACCTGCCTCTCATTCCCAGCAGCTTTCCTCCTGTTTCAGTTAATTCCTTATGATGTACCCAAATAATCTGTATTGTACCTTCCTGGTGGGTGGTAATCAGTTCTGTTGTGAGTTAACTTCTTTCGGGGCTTCATTATTCGTTTTATCTGTCCATGATGATCTAATCATTAATCTGTAAACCCACTGCAAAATGTCTTGACCTTTTTCTTATTCACTTCCTCTTTTATCACTTAGATTGGAAGGAGGTGTAATGTTCTGCTTCTTGCTCTTCTGGTTCCCCTGACCTTAGACAAGTTGTCTGCTGTTATATATTTTCTCAGATGTTATCTTTCTATCTTGTTCATGGTCTCCCTTGTGCTCTACATCCTCTTTTTATGTATGCCTTTCATGGTATGGCATTGCAAGGCATTGTCTCTTAATGGGCAAACCATTTGATTTGCTGTTTATGTAGTTTTGAATTGGTTATGTGCTGATTTTTTTTCTCTTATGGCCTCATTCCTGATTTTATCTCTTATGATCACTTCTGCAGCACACCTCCTACATTTGGTTTTCCACAGTTAATAATGTTCTTTTCTAGTTTCTTGTGAGTGACCATATTTGGCACTGGTAGCATAGTGCGGGAATGAATATGCTCTGTATGACATGTTTCTGTATGCTGATCGATATTGTCTTATGCTGTACACGGGAGGCAGGCTTTCGTTTGCTTTACTGCATCTCATGTTAATTCCTTAAATTTCCCATCTAGCAGTCCATTTTACTTTAGTTACACTGTGTTAGCTGCAGTAGGGTAGTGGTCAGATTCTCGCCTGCTGACCTAAAGGTCCTTGGTTGGAATCTGCAGTCTGATTTTTGGTTATCGAAATTGACCTTGGCTGCCATTTCTAAACTGGGTATACCATATAATGTCTTGAGAAGCAGAGACAGCTGATGTTACTTTGACCTCATTACCTACCTGGTGCAAGTGAATAGGAGTTCTTTATCCTGTGCCCGATGTGCCACTGGCTTTAAAAAGTGTCCTTTACTTTGCAGCACACAACTGATCGGTATAATTCTTATTTTGACAGGGTGAATATTATCATCTGCTGGCAGAGAAAATTTACAAAATTCAGAAAGAACTAGAAGAGAAAAGAATACAGAGAATGAGAGGATCATTGAATACAGGTGTTGGTGGAATGCCTGCACCGATTCGACCAGGAGTGCACAGTAAGTTGGTCTTTTTTTGTATTGTTTCATTTGTCATCAGTGTCTTCAATTAGGAGCGGCTGGCTGAACAGTTGGAATGCCAGGCTTTAAGTTTGAATCCTTGGTAAGGTTTTTTTTTTCTGTCAATGGCGACAGCACTAGGCTCAAAGACCTCCCCTACCTAAACTGCCAAAGTGGTTTGAAAAAGGCAGAAATAATTCTGTGTTGGGGGGGGGGGGTGTAGTATCTTAAATTTGTAATTTAGGGGAGACTTCATCATCATATCATTATTTTTTTTTAAGAATTACATAGGGCTTACAATTAATTTGTTCTTTTTGTCCTTTTATGCAAGTTTGTGTAGCAAGATGGTTGTTTTATCATATGGGAAAGCTGACTTCACACACAACCCTCCTACTTTCTCATGCAGGTTTGGAGTACGAATGACTGCATTTCAAAATGAAATACTTACTTGATAGATAATTATGCTAGATTCATGGCGCAGAGATTTACAAAATAAAAAGCACAAGAGATGTAAATACCTCCAAATTGCAGATATCATATCCAAGACCTAGTCTTCTCATATCTGCACACACAAAAACTGGGATTTTCTATGTGTGCACATCAAAATTCCTTGGAAATTGTAATAAGAGCAGGCTAAATAGCTTAGCTAACTCTCCGTTCAAGGTAAATTTCATGTGAAAATTTACCCATATTAGGAATATTTATTTTAACACATTTGCTCTTCCTCATTGGTACCCAGAGTTAATTGCACAGTTCTGAAATTCATCTTGTATTATCTAAAAGAAGAGACTGTAGCTGTAAAGGTGAACAAACAAACAAGGTTTTTTTTTTCTGTTTGTTAATTGTTTGCTTGTTTCTGGACACAAGCCCTGTGTATAACATACTACATCTGTGTAGGGCACATAATCGTGTGTACAGGTATTCCCATTTATATGACATGGGGGAAAAGCAAACATAGGGTGTCATAGAAAACTATCAGTGCCTTTGATGATATTGTTTCATCAAATGCCATTTTGGCATATGAAAATATAGGTGTAGCACTATATGCCCAGTTCACTGTAAGCGTGAAAATGGTCTTTAACTAAGGTCTTCAACTACTGCTTAATTTTCCTCACTATATTTGTTTTATGGGGTGAGGTGAACAGTGATAAGCACAGCAAAACCTGTTGTATGACATTTCCGCAACTCAGAAATGTCATTAAACCTAGCAGCTCTTATGATCTAATTTGTTAAGACACCCAGGCGGTGAAGTTGTGTTTGTTTTTCTTGTAAATTGTATGCATGGTGTGGAAAATGTGCCAAGTGTTCATTGGTCCAGTTTGTATTTTCAGATGGTCCAACAAGCGTGCAATTAGGCAACACAGTGTTTAATGACATGAATAATGTGCAACCCGCCCAACAGCAATCTCCAGCAGGTCTGTCGATGCCAGGAAAGTGGAACCAGAATATGCGAGCTACGCCACCTCCTGCAGGACAGGTACGTAGTGTGTGTTACTTTGGCAGTTGTGGAGTGGTATCATAGATGGCCTGACTGGTTGAAATTGATACATGGATATTGTTCAGACACCTCAATTCTGCAGAACTGAAGACAGTAAATGCTGTTATTAAAATAACTCAGGGTTGCAGAGGTGTTGAACCAAAACCGTACGTGGTGATGGTCTAGGGCTCAAGACTGGTCAGGACCTATCTTCACCTCTCAGCAGTCATCCTGTAAACAGATTCTAACCTAGATATGATCAAATTCAGAGTGCATCTGCAAGTAAACGACAGTCTGCACACAAATAAACCAGGTCTGTAAAAATGATTTGTGCTCGGAACTCAGGTCCTGTAACAACGCCAAAGTTCAGAAGTGGTAAAACATCCAAAACTTTCCACTGATGTTTACAGCTTGTGAATGCGAAGAAGAAGAAACAAAGTCACAGTTGTGATTGGCTTCAACAGAATCAGATGTGTATGTTGTACAGATACTTGAGTTTTTAAAAACTTAAAAAGAATAAATGCTGTTATTAGGAGGAGTCAGTTTTGGTTGGAAGTCTTCGTTTCTAAATCAGAAGTCTGAGGTCATCGTGTTCTAATTACCTTAGAACAGTGATTCCCAAACTTGGGGAGCCGCGACATCTTCACATGGAAAAAAAAGGCGCAGCGACTAAGAAAAGTTTGGGAAACACTGCCTTAGAACTAAAAAGGCTTGTATTCTGCTGAGGGTGGTGTAGAAACTTTTGTCTTGATCCTTACCAGAGAATACCATATCCAATGCAACATTGTTTACAGTGCTGTTTACTTATAAATTTTTTTTCATAGTGGTTTTAATGTGAAATCTAATAGCACCTGCAGCTGTCACTTCCTTAGCAGTTGTTTTCTTCTCTGTAACATTCTCAGAGACTGCTACCAGTTTCATTTAACTTTGCTTGTATTGGGCAAAATACGATAAACTCCACATGGGTTCCGGGGCCCCATTTAAGGGGGATAGACCCACTGCCTCCATAGCAGATATGTAATAAAAGTTAAAGAGTTTCTCTCCTTAGTCAAGAGTGCATCTGCATAAGAGGAACCAACAGTCTGCATTAAAACAAACCAAATCTTTAAAACTGATATACACACACAACTCAAGTTCTGGAACAAGACCAAACTCCAGAAGTGGATGAACAACCACTGCCAGAGTTTATGGACGGTGAACTCTTAAGACGATGAATAGACTTCCTGCCCCACAAACATGCTGTAAAAGGTTACCAAAGAGGGGTTTGCTGAAATCGGACGTCGTAGACCGAAAGGCCCAACAATGACAGTAAACCACCACATGCCAGCAGCTCTTGTGAGGGCAAACACAGAAGGAGTAAAAATCATCCAACACAGCCTCAAAAGATTATAGATAAATGAGATATAATCAGACACTGTTGATTTCAGCTGCATTTCACTAAATATCTAATGCTACACATGTAAAAGTAGTGCTAATCTGAATCTCCTACCCCCTCCTCACCCCCCCCCCCCCCCCCTTTCTTCTCCCCCCCCCCCCCCTCCCCCCAACACCTTTTAAGTTTCTGACCCTTGCTACACTTGAACACATAGCCAAAAGTCAAACAAACTCTGAACCCACTACAGTATCTGTCATCCATCTCTTTGTTGTGAACTGTTCAGCCCAGCATTACCCTTGCACACTGTTGATAAATACTTATTGAAGCACAATTTGGTTCTCTTGTCTGCAGGTGCTGGGTGTGTCCACAACCACCACTCCGATGAGCATCAATGCTGCACTGGCTGAATCTCAGCAGCAGTTTGATGCCATTAAACGTTCCTTGCCACAGCAGCCACCCGGCAGGCATTTACTTGCCACTTCCACCATCACATCCACTCATCCATCACCCCAGCAGCAGCAGCAGCAGCAGCTTTTGCACCAGTCGCTCAACTCACAGCCACAGGTTGTTCAGTCTCAGGTTTGTAGCCAGCCAGTCAGTGTACTCAGTTAATCAAAGCAGTGGCATCTTCACAGCGAAGGTCAGCTAAAAGGATCTCCAACACTCTTGCCTGTTACTTTGTTGGTGCATTCTTGTAAAATTATCCTTTAAAAAAAAAATTCCTACTTGTATCACTGCCTAGTTTTGGTTTGACTTGTCTTATTTCCAGTGCTGTTTCTTTCTTACTTCCTATTCGGGTTCCAGAGTTGCATTTTAGCAATAGAAACAGTACAACTGCTGCTCCTTAACAAGCATGCTGCAAAAGGTGACTCATGATTGTGGTTTGCTCAGATCTTATGTGTTAAGCTGAAAGTTGCATTTATCGCAGCCTACATTTAAACCACAACTAGTGCAGGAACCACCTTTTAAAGGGCAAACATGGAAGAAGTTCTTAACGAGTAAAATCTCTACGTAGGAACAAAGTGTTTTTCCTCTTTATTATTGATTTCTAGAACCATATTTTGTATCCCATTTTATGACCACAGCGTTTGCTTATGTTAAAAATTACACAGTTCAATGCTTGCAGGGATTTCTAATTGTACATATTGTTATTGATATCTTCTTGTGTCGTAGTTTTAAGGAAATAAACACATGGTTGTAACCTTGCGGTTACCCTGGTATAAGTGAGGTTGAATTTGTACTTCACTTGTAAGCTCGTCATTGTTAATCCTTACGTCCTTTTTAGGATGAAATGTTTTGTTATTTGAAGCCCCACCCTGGCTTTTGCCAGGGGCCGCAATATAGGCAGGCCCTGGCCAATCTTTTGAACAGGGGCCGCAATATAGGCAGTGCCATCCAAATATGGCCAATTGCCTGAACGCGGTTTCTGGGACCTCTTCACAGTGATCCTCATCCACATGTTGGCACTTTGTGTCATTGGGTGTTTATCGCTTGTGTGATGTCCTGGTGGGGTAGAAAGTCAGTCTGTCAGTACTTCACTTGTAAAGGATTAACCTATTTGCTTCATTTGTTTAAATGTCAATTTAATATGCACCTGACATGATACAGGTAAATATGCCTTGCAGTAAATTGAGCAGTCTATTGTTTGAGTCTACTTTGTCCAAATTAAGGATATTTGTTATTTTTAACTTGACACATTTGGCATTAAATGCTAGTTTTCTCTGGAATGGTTAGAGCAGTGGTTTCCAACTTTTCTGTGGCACCTCCCCTGAATATGTGGCAAGACCCCACCTCCAGTGTAACGAAATATGATAAACTCTTTTAGGAAAAAAAATTTTTTTCTGGGGTTTGGGCAGCATTCATGTTTTGCGGAATTTTCTTTTTACTGCAATGTGACAAAGCTAAAAACTTTCCTTAAGAAAAAGTATTGGCTGTATAGAGACATATAGTATATCAGATTAAGAGATCTGAGCTGAATAAGTCTAAACTTTTTAAGTGTCAGTATCATACAAAATATTTTTTTAATCACTGGCATTCAGGGGTGTTAAGTCATATGTAAAGATTATTTACTCAAAAAATGTTGTGCTTACCTTTTTAATTGTTTAACAATGCTTTATCTAATTCTAAGAATTTGTGTGCCTTCTCTGTTCACTTGTGTATCAGCTAGTCTTTATTTGAACAAATATTTTAAACACTTATGATGTTGTGACCATTTTTGTATGACATGTCGGATACAACAACAACCAAAATCAGGGAAAACAGCTGATCGAAACAGGGATCATCCGATTGAAATATGTTCAATATCATTTTTATCACAACTAAATAATTTAAAACAAATCAGAAAGTTATTTAAACACCACACCGAACTTCCAAGATGAAAGGACTCCTTTTCGCTAATTCTAATTTTTCAAAAAGTGTTCATACACATTTGTTTTCCTAGCAAACGAAACAATATTAGTGTCTATGCATAGAGCCACAGGACCCAACAAATATTCTTAGAACTGTTAACAGGAACTTGCAGCAAAACATTCAGATTGTCAGAAAAAAGAAGCGGTCATTAGCTATTAATGTAATGTCCAAATATAAATGCGATGGTTGACACTGTTTTATCTTGATGCGGTCTGCTATATTTGGTCTGATTTTGGGAAAGGGACAATGAAGATCACTCTCCAGATCAAGCTGGCGACACGGTTTCATTTTCATGACTTAAAACTAACAATCAGGGTTACTGCGCGTGATTTAAAAACTGCTTATGGTCCCCCTTGAAACTTCCTTGTGCCCCACCCCTTGCCAGGGTGGAATCCTCTAGGTTAAAGTAATATTCTGAATATTTATGTTGTTTGCTTTCTAATCGAATTATGTTGAATCTTTCCACAGCAGCAGTCAGCCATCCAGAATCACATCAACTCCATCATGACAGATTCCTTAGGCATTGGTAATCAACGAATGGGGAGCCTGCAGCCTTCAGTTGGGGGCTCCCTAGATAGTGTGGTATCCCCAAATAGCGTCCGGGTGACTAACTCCCAGCAATCTCTACTGCAGCAATTTGGGGGCAAGATGGCTGCCACAACCAATGGTCAAACTCATCTGTCCATGCCCCGGCCTGCTCAATCCAACGGACAAGTGTCTTGTAAAGATATGAACGTAAGTCAAATGTTTGCTCTAGTGTTCTTGGTTTGTGTCATGTCCTGAGAAGATCAGAATGTCATTAAAAGAATTTATAATGACGGTGAACGTAGAAAACCTTTTTATCTACCTACACCAAAAATGGACAGTGATATAGTTACAGACAAGAATACCTAAAATCACCTGTCTTAACAAGTAAGTCTGTCAGAAAATATTCAAGGGAGAAGCCATCAGCAAAGAACAGGAAATGAAGTGTATGGGATGGAAGAGATAAGGAAACACCTCTTGGTTGTATTACATCAGTCATTGTTTCTCAGATGTCTTTGATGAATCACAAATTGATCTATTTATTATGTGTGAGCTAGCCTACATATGTTTATTAATCTCTTTTTTGTCCGAAGTTTTATGTGAGAATGTGTCCTTTCATGCCATGATACCAGATTATCTTCTTTGCCTCTACCTCTGTTCTCTTGATTATCATTTTATGATGCAAGTAACCAGTTTAATTGTTTATTTATTGCTTGACATTTACTCTTTCTAACAGTGGCATCGAAAACATTCTTCTGTAGAACCACACCTCTGCAACTTGAACATATCTCTTTGGTCATTTACTGGGTCAGGCAACCTATTATTCTGTCCTCTGCAGCTCAGCTGTCGAACAGTCTTCCACAGCAAGTCAAAAATACCACTAGCCATTATACAAACTATTGAAAACTATTTGAATATCATCTCATTACAGACCACATGCCCACTGAACAGATATTAAATAGTATTTTAAGCATGTATATTTCACCTTGTTCTAATACACCTACTATACTCAGTATTATTGTTTAGAAATGTATGTGTACTTAAAGAACATTCCAGCATTTATAAGACTTAGATGTTATTTATATTTATTATCTGGTTAATGTGGAGTGAATGGAATAATATATGTATGGAGTGAGGCCAGAAGGTAAGATAGGCCAGCGTGCCCAGTTCTGAACATAAATTTGATTGGTTCCTCTCAGAACACATCTGATGCTAGCAACATTGTGCGGATGATGTCACTTAATGTCTCATAACTTTGTTTTCTTTGTCTGCTCCAGGACGATCATCCACAAGGATTAGATGAAATCGGCAAGCAAGGCTCAACTGTCAGAGATTCCAGTTTAGCTGAAAGCAATCAGAACCTCTCTAGTCTGCTGTCAGCGGCATCACCTTCAACATTAACTTTACCACCCATCACTCCCACCATGTCCAACTCGACTGCCATGTCTTCCATACTCAGCTCAACTGCCATGAAGGCAGAGATCAAAACCGAACCATTGTCTGAACTTAAGCCGGATACTGATATGAAAGATGAGAAGATGGATGTAAAATCTGAGTCGGATTGTAAACCCGAGCTGAACAGCGTGAAGGATGACAACGATACGTCCAGTCCCAAGTTAGAAGGTATGGATGACAACTCTCAGATGGGCTCTAGTGAGGAGAAATCCTTAGTTGTGGCTGATGCTTCCAGTGTCTTGGCAACTACTACAAAACCCAGGTGCAAGAAAGGTAACACATGCATGTCTTTGTTGTTGTTTGTCTTTTATTGTCAAGCTATTTTTTGTATGCCAGATTGTCAAGGAATAAAAAGTCCTAATATATTATCGTTGCCACCCCTACCCCCTTTTTTTTCTTCAGTCTGATTTTTCTAATGAGATTTCAGTTATCTCTCTCTAGCGGTGACTGCATATGCATCTCTTTTTTTCTTCCAGGCCCTGTCTTCGTTGATATATAATCTTGTCGCAGCAAAACGGACACATTTTATTGGTTCAGTTCCCCTTATATGTCCCTTTCCAGTGTTTCTACAGCAGTATAAGTAAAGCGGTTGACCAAGTGAGTGCTTGCGCAAATGTTTAGGGGGGTCATTATTTGAATATATTAGCTAAAAATGGTTGTGGCAGCCATCTTTCCACCAAATTGCTGAAGTAGAGACCCTGAACCAGGTGACTTTTTTTTTATAAGGCCAAGTTGTCAAAATTTCCCATAAGCATCAGTGATAGAGGTTGCAGCATAAGTTTGCAAACACATATTGATTGTTAAGCCCTAGGGTATGCATCCGTTTGACAGATCTGTATGCAGACTGTTGGTTCCTTGCCTCTCAGGCAGATGCACTCCAACTTCGAAGGAAGCTCCCAATTAGTCGACTCTTACGACATGCTTTTGGGTAGGCAGTGGGTCTATTCTTGTTTTTCCCATAGTAGGGCCTCGCAACCCACACGGGGGCTTAGGAGCAGTGAAGTCAGTCCTCTCGACTTAAACCTTTAGTTTGAATAAGTGTGTGTGTATGCTTAGGCGCGTGCATACATACATTGATTGTCAAAATGTAAACCAGTTAAACATATTTCACTGTTGCCTGTAAACAAATGTATTGAATATTTTCAGTATTTAACCCCGATGAATTAAGGCAAGCTTTGATGCCGACATTGGAGAAACTTGTGAAGCAAGATCCTGAATCTCTTCCCTTCAGGCAGCCAGTTGACCCCGTTATACTTCAAATTCCAGTAAGAGCTAAAATATTCTCTACTATTGTGAATTGTTGTTTCTTGTCTTGCCAGTTGATAACATAGACCTCAGGGCATTAAGTTGGAGTCTGTTGGCAGTGTAGTGTCTAAAAACGTGACCAACCTAGGCCTGCTCCCATCCAGTGCAATGCTGAATCATGACCTGGTTGTAGCCTTGTTTGCCTTCTCATGGATATGAAGATGCAGTATCTACCTTGTTTGCTTCTGAACTGGGAGGAGGCTTGTGCGGCAGCCTCCATGAAGATATTCCTCTGCTGCAAGGTTGACAATCTGGTTACTAATCTCCTTTGTGCAAGGTCTTTCCAGAACCATCCTAAGAGTCAAGTCCTTGCTAGGAGGGTGTCCTCAAATTCAGGCTGATTTGAGATATTTACGTGTCCAGTCCTTGTGCAACCAATGCTATATGAAGAGATTCAGATGTACAGAAATTCAGACAAGCAGCTGTTTGCTGGCCTTAATGGGTTGACACTGCATAGAGGGCATTCTCTTCTGGTGTTGAGGAATGTCCGAGGGTCAGACATGCTTCAAGCATGGCTTTGGGCGACTGCTCTGGGCAAGTACAGGACATCTGATGATTCAGATGGGTGTGGTTGATTTCACTTCATCGGGGCTGTGGCTGTCAAAAATGTTTCACATCACTAGCTAGTAACTGTCCCTTGTGTTACTGCCCCACCCACCCAGAGGAAATAATCTACTAGAATGTGCCTTGGGGGTTTGGTGTGAAACTGACTTGCTCATCACAGATTGACAACTTAAGAAGTAAATGCAGTCAGTCATAAACAAGTCTACGGAGAGTTTGATGAATGTGGATCAGGGCCTATGCTGCATTGGGAAATCTGATTGAAAAGAACATAACAGAAAGGATAACCTAGGCAGTAAATACCAAATAACTTTAGTTGTCAGCCAAAAGGCAAATGTTATTGTTTGCCTGAATAGTCACTGTGCATTTTTTATCCTCTAGATGGTGTTGAGATGTTACATGAATTTAATATCTTATTCATTATTAATAGCTTGTTACTGTGATTACCTATTACTGATATTGTTAGTTGGAGGGAGTTCTCGGCTGATGTTGTCTTGACTAGACTGTTTGATTGTTGCTTGGTTAATTCCCAGGACTATTTTGATATTGTCAAAAAGCCCATGGACTTGTCTACAATCAGACGAAAGTTGGACTCTGGGATGTACAAAGACCCCTGGGAGTATGTGGATGATGTTTGGCTCATGTTTGACAATGCCTGGCTTTACAACAGAAAGACCTCCAGAGTATACAAGTATGCCTCAAAGGTGAGTGGAGATAGGCTCGGCTGATTGTTTCATTGTGTTAACGCACTGTGCTAGCTTATTACTGTAGGTGCAGTCTGTTTTAGGAGTTTAGGAATCTTATGCTTTAAAGTTGTGCTATTTCCTGACACACTGTCAGAGTGCCACACCTCTTGCAGCACACTGGGCAGGCGATCCACTTGCCTGGGCACACTGGGCAGGCGATCCACTTGCCTGGGCACACTGGGCAGGCGATCCACTTGCCTGGGCACACTGGGCAGGCGATCCACTTGCCTGGGCACACTGATGAATTTGTCATTTGTCACAACACACATTATACAATAATGGCCTCACATTGAACACAGTCTGCAATTATCACATCACACTGGAGAAGTTCTCTGCTTGCTGCAGACAAGATACATTGTCACAGAATTTTAGAATATTATGTGTTCTAATAATTGATGTATGTTGTATTAATTTATTTTTTTAATGCATATTGTATTCATTTATTTGTCTAATGCATGTCATATTAATTTATTTGTTTAATGCATGTCGAATTAATTTATTCCTCTGATGCATGTTGTGTTAATCTTTTTGTGCGATGCATAATATGTATAATGCATGTTGTGAATTTATTTGTCTAGCATATTTTGTAATAATTTATTTGTTTGATGCATGTTGTGACTAATGCATGTTGTAATAATTTGTTTTTACATTGCGTATTTTCTGATAAATGTCGTATTTATTAATTTTTTACAATGCATGCTGTGTCGAACACATGTTGTATTGAGTGAAAGTAATAAACAGCCAATAAATGCTAGGATTGATCTAACAGCCTAGAGAGGACATCCTACTTTAACACACATCTCTTTTCTCCCAGCATCTTCAGTTAGCATCTTGTTTATAACCAAATTGTACCTTTCAGCCTAACTCATCTGACCCAGCAGATTCTTAAACACTTTTTTGGCATGATTGTTAACCCCTGTCATCTCAGAAAGCCACATGAACAACACTTCCTGATGTGTCCAGTTCCACGAGCTACGTAACTTTACTGGCTTGGCCAAAGTGCCTGTATATCATGAGACAACCAGCTAATAGCTCTGTTATTGCTTGCATCTGCACATAGGTTTAGATGCACCTGGAATAACTAATTTTATTTGTCCATTTAATGCTGTGGCCTCCAGCCTTTTCCAGGTTGCACTTCTGAGAATATGTAAGGCCCCCTTGAGTGTATTGCAGGACCCCAACACCCCCCTTCCCCTTTATTTTAGTACTCGACAAATCCACCATGCCTCTCTCCCTTACCCTTACCCTTCCCTTCCACCCCTACATAAAAAAATATGCTTAATTGAACAAAAGAGAACAATAGATTCTGCAAGCAAAGGAAACAGGGCTGTATGGAGATCCATTTTGATTACAATGTGTTCTTAATTAATAAATACCTTGTTACATATTGATTAGATGTTTAACTGTAGATATACGAACTGAATATGAAAACAAGACATATCCTTGAATTTTGTTCTTTTATAAATAGTTTGCAAATTTATTTTATTTATAATTAAACAGAACAAAAAATAATCTAATGGATAATTACAAATACAAATGCACTCTATTTCACATTTGTTTGTAGTTCTCCTTTATTATATACAATAGCAGCATCATTCAGAGCTGTTTCTAGCCTATCTCTTTCAACAAATATAGATGGAATGCTTCATTAGCATTTTGCATTTCTCCATGCAAACATGAAACAACAACAAAATATTCATGAGAAAGATACGCAGAAACAGGTTTTATAATTTTCATGACAAAAGTCTGGCAGCCTATTTTTATTTTGCCCATGTCACCATTTTTCACAGTTGACGTGAATTCCTTTTCAAAGTTCCCTAATGGCGTATATCGCTTTTTTTTTTTCTTTGGGTAGCCTTTAAATTTCCTGCATTTGACTGAATTACGCCTCCACAGTGCTCCTGATTTCTTTTTTATTGATGCTTTTGTCACTTTCTAACTGCTCAAATACTTTTATATACTTTATATACTTAAATACTTTTTATATACTTTTTTATTATTTCTAGAAATAATTTACCTTTCTTGGCAGCAACTTTATCTAAGAATCTTTGCCTCATCCTCTGGACATGGCCACAACATTCTAATTTCCTAATTGCTTTGCCACCATAGATGGGGAGTTTCTGGCTCCACATTTTTAAAAAAACTTTTTGAATCTCCATCTCCTAGATAACCAGTGTACGTTAGTCACTACTGACAGACTGATCTTTCAAAGATTCTTTTCAGGCCTGAAGGTTCCATATTTCCTGCAGAACCCACATGATTTTCCTTGCAAGCGTTTTTGTGTTGCTCCTTCCATTCCATCAGTTTATCACCAAAATATGTCTTGCTCATCTTCCTACAAGCATCACAATAACTGGACAGGAGCTCTACATCAAGGACCTTTGCTGGTGCTTTTAGACTGACAGACAGACATGTTGAAACTTCATTTTTGCTAGAAAATTCCCTCAGCTGCAAAGTTCCATGACAGAAAACTGTCGCTTTATCATCTTCAGCATTATTTAGTTTATTTGCTACCTTTCTCATGTTTGACTCTGCTACAGTCCATATTGCTTGAAGAATCGATTCCTGAATACTGCTGGTCGGACACTTGAAACTTGTTGGGGCATATTCGTAGCAGCCAAAAAGCAGCAACTTTTCTGGTCATGAAAGCCGATGCCACACTTGGCAAACTAGAACTGCAAATTAATGTTTTCCTGATTTTAAAAATCAGTGTGTGTTTGCATACAGTGAACTACAACTCTAGCTGTGAATTAATGCCAGATAGCTGTTTAAAGAATGTAAAAATATTATATCTGTGGACATAACACTGTGGGCATGGAAACAGCTAGAAAAAAATAATATTCTGGATTTCAGTCTTAGACCACTAATACAAGTTTAATCAGTAACCCCATCTGCATGGTAATAATTTGTTGCAACTTTTCTCAAATGGTGATGATATTTTGGTGTCTGAATAACTAACTATAGTGGCAGTATCATTAGAAGCCAGTGGCTGTGGACTGCCCTCGTTTGCTGTCAATGTGGAATCAGTAACTTGTCCACATGTAACAGTAGCTGTCTTTGTAAATCTATTACCATGAAAATTTCCATTTCGTGTAACAACCTGCATGCATTTTCTTATCCATACTTGTTATTTTACATTTTTTAAACGCACATACTAAGTTAATAAAATGGAATGTAAACAGTCAGGCTTTAAATAACCAGGAAACTAAAATCAATACTGCATGTTGCCTGTGACACAGGAGTAGCCATTGTTTGTTTACACAATTTCTGTAAGGCCTTCTTTAATTAGTTGAAACTGGACAGTGACTAGTTTGCCCTCTCCGATATTGGCCAGTGAAAATGTATCTTTCATGTAAGTTATGACACAGATTGGACTGTCATAGTTCTACTATTTCTAACAAATAAGTGACCAAATTATTAAAATAAGTTGATAAATAGCTGCATTATGACAGTTTGAAAATGTTTCATGCATAATTAGATAAATAATCGATTGCATTGCCAATTTAAACCAAAAAAATGTAATTATGTAGTGTTGAAAATATTTTGGTCATATCAGGCGCCACGACGGATTGGAAAAAATTATAGCAGAAGGCATGGTACCAGGAAGGAGGGGCAGGGGCCGACCGACACGAAGATGGGCACAGGATTTAAGTGAATCCTTGGGTGTGAAAGTGCATGAGGCGGGATAACTGGCGAGAGACCGAGTTTCTTTCAGGCAGACTGTGATGACAGTGATGTTCTGCAAAGGATCTGCTACATGACGATGAGTGTTAAAAGAAAAGGGGGGGGGGGGGGGGGGAATTCCAAAATTCTGAAGAAAATAGTCAGTTTGGGGATTTAACCTATTGAATTGCTTTGTGCAATACATAATCACCTACATCTTAGTGTTTCTAGTTTCATCTAATATAGTTACAGAATGAATATAGTTACTAAAAAAAGCATTTCAGAGGGGTTTTCCTGTGAAAAAAAGGGTTCAATTAATCAAAGTTATGACGATGTAGTTTTTCAATTTTATTTGGTCACCTTTATTATTATTATGCTGGGACTGGGTCACATACTGAAAATATGTCATAATAACCATTTATTTTTAGACTCACAGAAAATTCTTTGCTGCATTTGTGATTACTGATGACTTCCTGTATTCTGTAAAAAATTTAATAATTTTTGGGTCCATAAATGAAATTAGGATATTACAGAGGAATATCACTTCTTAGTCACACTGGGAAAATGTATGCTAAGATCATCGAAAAAAGGCTGAGACCATTGATAGAGTATCAACTTTCAGAAGCACAGATGGGCTTTCGACGAAACAGAAGTTGCACAGATGCCATTTATACATTGAGACAACTATCAGAGAGGGCAATAGAACATGATAAGACATGTTTGTTGACATTCATAGACCAAGAAAAAGCCTTCGATAGAGTCGACAGGAATATGTTGTGGGAATGTATGGGGAAAAAAGGAATCTGCAATCATCTCATTAATATTTGCAAAAGCCTGTACACACGTAGTGAATGCTGCATAAGATCAAAGGCAGGGTTGTCTAGAACCTTTATAGTGAACTCTGGTGTGCTTCAGGGCTGTGTACTATCGCCGCTTCTTTTCATAACATACATGGACGCCATATGTAGCAAAACAGACTTTAATCAGGGAGAAGATATAACAATTACTTTTCGCCGACGACCAGGTACTCATAGCAGAAAATATGGAATGCCTACAGAACCACCTAAATCAAATTAGTAACAAAAGGGAGGAATATAATATGAAAATAAACACTACGAAGACAGAGACAATGATGACAATTTAGAAATTAAATTAAAAAACAACACCCTGAGACAAACAGAGGAATTTAAGTATTTGGGAGCAATTTTTACTTCAGACGGAAAACTGGACAGAGAAATTAGTTCCAGATGTGCCAAAGCTAATCAAGTAATGGGTCAACTATCTACCCTGTTGAC